ATTATATGAATTTAATCTCATTTACAGAGATGTAAGGTTCATATTTGAAACAGAATCGTAGGTAATTGCGTGTACCGTATTGTAAGTGCTTTCAATGAATCACAGTGCGACGGCACGCCCGCCATGCAGCAATTGAAAGCATAATATGGTCAATCAGTTCAAGTGCATATCACGGGTCATGGCTTAATTTTATACCGCCATCTGTATTATGATTGTCATTTGTAATACAAATCATTGCAATATCAAATACCCATTATTTTCCTGTCAACATTAATTTTAATTTTTCTCACTGAAATAAAAATTTAAGAATATAAAACATACTTGAAGATATCAGGATATTTAGATATTCATGAACTTGGATACTTGGGTGTGTAGATTATTTTTGGCTTATACATTAAAACTGTCTACATAGATAGATCGTATCATAGAGTACCATACAAAAGTAAATTTTCTACATATTATATAATTAGGATGCACGAACTTTTATCTTTGCCTTTCTATATAACTGTACATAATTAATGCGCCAGTATATAAAAAAAAACAAAATCACATATAGTAATTAAAATTATATCACTAATGTAACACTACTATCCTATATTTTCAGCAATATTATTTATATTTATAGCTAGTGTACAACTGGAATTAAAACTTGAAAAATATGAAAGCGTTTACGACGGAGATAACTAATAAACTGTACTGAAAACGGTACTGAAATATTTTCGATTCCAGTTCTTTGGCGGTAACGGTATCTATACGTATCATTAGCATTCTTATGCAGGTATACCAGTAAAAATAGATCAATACAACTGAGACAAGGTTTTGTTTGAGAATTTTGTTCTGTGGTACCCGTGCTTAATGATCCGTAGATAATAATAGGTTATTGTCGAACTGGTTGAACTACAAAATCAATTATAGTTTGTAGAGCAGTAGAGAATGCTTGGAACAAGGGTTGTGTGTGTAGGTAAGTATCTATATATATATATATATAACACTAATGAGATGAACAATGAGTCAGCGATCTTTTATCTCGATACCTGCACTTCAAAGAATAGAATTGTTTAATCTGTGGTCTAATTCTCCTGAGTACTTAGGAGAATTAGAGATCAGATTCAACAATTACAGTAGACTAAACAAGTATACTCAGTATAGTATTCATTAAAGCCTAAATCAAACTAAACTTTAACAAGTACGTTTGAATCATAGCCTTCGTCAGAATTTACATCCTAAGTACTGAGGAGAATTAGACCACAGTTTAAACGATTACAATAGACTAAACAAGTATATTCAGTATAGTATTCATTAAACCCTAAATCAAACTAAACTTTAAGAAATACGTCTGAATCATAGCCTTCGTCAGAATTTACAATGTCTCCAAATGACAACACACGAAGAAATAATCTTTACGTGTCTAAATTGACACGCAAATCTGCTATGGAAGCATTTAGTACCTTTCTTTAAAATAAAAATAAATACTTTAAGGCTAAATACAAAGTATTTTTTAGACTTTATGGCATTTAAGCAAAGGTTATATGATATGGCGATAGAATCACAGCTAACATTGTATTACAGGCAAATAAAATTTCACATTCTCACATGTTACCACGTGCTTAAAACTAAACAGAGAACAAGCACAGATGTTCCTTAGAAAATACAAAACGAAACAATGAACCCTCGAGACTCGGCTTCTTGGACAACCGTTCAATACCTTTGAATTTGAAATGAACAGAGTCCTTTGAAGTAAGCAACTGGGCAGGTGTGATGCTCTACAAAGACATAGTAATACGCCGTATATATACACACTAAGAAATCTACATGAATGCGAGTTATGGTAGGTACTACATAACGAAAGTTGTTTATACCCGTTATGGTAATTCTAGTAGTAGGCATAGTACACGCAATGCCATCTACAAAGATGCATAATGTATTTCATATTTAGAAATATATGTGCTATTTATTCATATTCTTAAGAATTTTGATAACTTCTTTGCTTATCTTTGGAAGCTAGCTTTAAAATATAGACCAATATTTTAATATTTACTCAATTCTAATCGTAAATTCTTCCTCAACCGAAATGAAGTGTCTGTCTGTTTTCAGCTATGTAGGCATAACTGCACGGCGTGTCTTGTCTTGCCCATATTGTATGCAGTATCCGCCTCATGTAGGAAATTGCTCTACATAAAAATATTAAATATTTGTAATTCAAAAGAAAATGCAATATTTTTGTAACAACGTATATGTATGTAATAATATTAATTATAAATTAGATTGTAGGCAATCAATGTTAATTTATATTTCATACGTAAAAGCTGTGTATCGCCATAGCGCCAAACTAAAATACATAGAATTGTTAATTATTTTTATTATATTGGTTTTTATTCAAAATCAATCAATACAGATAATAGCAAAATATCTGATGTCGGCCACAACACCCCTCAGAGCTTTAGACAATGGGTAATAACCTAACCCCAGTTGTGAAGTTTTAGAAATATTTTATATTCTTATAAAACGTAGAAATAAACAAATGACAAATCAGTATAAAAGGCATTCATTACTTCGATAAAGTATAAAATAAAAAAAGAATTAACTGCGGAAACTATCATATAATAAGTAAATAAACTATCTACTTCGAACTTTTACAAGTGAGTAGATTCTTGCTTAATATAAAAATGTATAAATCTTTGTATATTCTGGTCAAGTCGTCAGCACTTGAACCGTCGCATCGCGTCGCGTCGTTCGATGTTTACAAGTTCTTAACGGCCGCACACGATAAAGTAGAGCATCTGTCGTGCCGGTTAACAACATAAAGTGAGGCAACAACATTTTTTACTGCCCCACGTATTCCCGCGCCCCTTCGCATCCCGGCAATCGACGTCGCCAGTTCCTTGTTCCATCACGGACAAGTACAACACACAGCATGTGCCTGTCCGCTTCACACAAACGTGTCACGACATATCCCAATAGTGTTACAGAGTTACTTGATATGTTTTGTGTTACTTTATGATAATAAATATGGATACGATTAATGTGGTACTGAAGACTGGATATAAGATTGTTAAGGATTTCTCGGAGCAACATAAACCTGTAAGTTCAGCGACCAATTCTCGGCTAACGGAAGTTATGTTTGTAAATAGTGGCTATTTTAAAATGTATTGTGTTAACACATTCCAATGTAAAATTTTAATAACTTGATGATCATAGTCAGTTGTATATAATCGATGAAGAAATTAAAATTACAATAATAAATTATAATGAAGTTATAGAAATCGTTAAAAACTAGCGCATGCATGCCACTTTTTTCATTTTCATTAGATACATTTCATCATACATTCTCTGAGCTTTTTCTTCATAATAGATTTTTAAATGTATTAACGTGCCACTATTAATGCTATAGATACTATTAACAATATAGATAAATAATAATAAAAATAATACGAGTATTATAAATTAAATATTCTATAAATCTGTAGTCTATACACATTGTAATTACTAGACGTAATTTATTACGTCATTTTAAATTGAATTTCTGATTACCACTATATTAAAAAAAAATACACTCAACATATGTTTGTTTGAGAATCGTTTAGAAATCGTTTCGAAATACTCGTATGCGTTCTTATATCAATAAAATCTATATTCTGTCTTAATTTTATATCCGACACTTCACTATCTTTCTGTAGTCGAAGTCGAAATGACGTCCGTTACAATTCGAAAAAATGAGCAACGTGTTATGAATTCCATATGTAATGTGTATCACCTGCTAATGTAAAGGGGCCCGTAACTTCACGACATTATCAAGCGACGGAAGAAACTAAATTTAGGGCGCCCGGTCTCTCTGTTTGTAAGATAACACGATAATGTTCGTGGGATTTCATTCATGTACTATATACTTAACAAGAAGGTTGAATAACTTTATACTCATAATTAATGTCCCAAAACTCGTCATATTTCCAAACGGAAGTCTGCCCGTCATAACCTATAAAAATGACGTAATTAGGTATATACATTCCTGATGATATTCAATTTTATATTTACAAAATATAATTCTGAATAATGTCTAACTGCAGCAATGTACTGGGTACATGTTGGTATTGTGTTATAAAGTTGTAAACATAAAAAAAAACGATACAATAACACAATAGAGGGAATAAAAAAATATGTGAGTTACAAGTCTATGATTATTTTATAAATCATTACATAGTATTAAACAAAGTCGCTGTCACTGTCTGTCCCTATGTATGCTTCAATCTTTAAAACTACGAAACGGATTTTGTAGCGGTTTTTTTAAGAGAGTGTTATAGGGGTTTATATATATAATACATGTACACGAGAAGTTAATTAAATATATAAACAAAAAAAGTATAAAAACGGTAATGCAGAAACTATCATATAATTTCTTTTATCAACTTTCACAGACTCTAAAATCTCAACAAGAATATATTGTGTCCATTTTCTTATTTATAACCTCCAATAAACCTATATAATTAATAGTGTGCTTTATCATTTTGTTTCTCATTAAGAATGTGCCTCGAAAGAAAGTGATGAAGCGGTCCAATATGTTGTTTTGTTATTTATTGCTATTATTGTTTGATTTAGCCTCCAAAAAACGCTGGTAGATGTTTTAAAATAATATTATTGAAGGACTGTACGCTTTACGTAGTTTGTTATAAATGCTATTTTTATATAATACTAACGTCGTATTCTTATACTATAAATAATACAGCATGATTACGTTTAATAGGTATTTACTTGAGTTTTTGAATTAACATAAACGATATATTATGTGTAATGCTGTAATGTTTACCAAAAATGTATTATTAGATTTTTTATGTATTACAATAAACTAATGTGTAATAAAACCTATATTATTTTTCGTAAACAATACATATATAATAATAATAAATAACTCTATATTTCATACAGTGAACTAATATAAATAGAACAGAAATTGTATAACGGATGGTCTTCTAACCAATCACTTAAACAATTTTTTTTGTCCTCAGATGGAGACGTCTGGTGGTTCAGAAAGCTCAGGTGGTGAAGATGCAGAAGCTCGGCGGTCGCGCCGCGGCCACGTCCTTGCCGAACTTGTGCAAACAGAGCGGGTTTACGTGCAAGAGCTCGGCTCGATACTGACGGTACGGATAATCTTTTATTTCCTTTTTTTTTTGTAATTAGAATGACAAACAAGCTGGCACCACGGCCAACGTTATGGTAATGAGTAATCGTCGCCTAAATACATGACCAGTACTTCGACAAAACATTATCATGTGATATTAGTGCGTTGCCGTTCCGAAGGAGTGAGATGTTATAGCATAATAGATCTATATGTAATAGGTATAGCATTACCATTACCATTAGCACAGGTTTTCTTTCACTATTCCATATTTCCATTATAGATTTATTCTAATCTTAAGGGCAGAGGGAGACTGAAAAAGAATTGGATGGCCTGTATGAAAGACCATATGGTAAGAAAAGGAGTAAATATCGAGATGGCTGCAAACAGAGATTAATGGAAGAGAAAAACATATTTACGCTAACCGCAAATAAATGGGATAAGAAAAAAGCAGATGATGATGATTTATTCTAATCTAGAGGCATCATATCAAGGCAATCGACAAGGAAATGTCCACAATATAATGCGCTATTTGTTATTATCATACAGAACATTAAATTAAAATATTCATTTTAACGAGGAAATCTTTTACATTTAATAACTCAAACGAAATTAAAATAAATTAATAGTTAACAATTCGCATGTCTCAGTACATTAGTTGCATTTCAGCTCGATATCTCCACCATTACGCGCTCTAAAAATTATATGTGCCATTGAATATAAGTGGCCCACATTGATCAGGGGCCCCGCGTGTGTAAACTCATGCGTATCTGGTGCATCGTATCGTATCGCTGTTCACGATACAGCGCATGCACTGCACATCGAGCGAAATGCAATGCATGTTACACATTCGCCAAGTGCACTTCAGCTCGGGCTCCCGCACGCGCGTCATACTTCGCTGCTCACTGCACCATGAAATATGGAAAATACGACCTCTATAAGTCTTCTGCGAATATCAGTGTTGGGACCTCCTATTCTTGGTATTACCGCAAAAATGAAAGTCTCGCCCCTGTAAAAAAGAAACGACTTACCAGTGCGACATCTGATTCCACTCTGTTCAGTGATTATATGAATCAAATTCCACTATTCGAAAGAGAAATGGCTCGTGCTAAGAAGTGTTTAAAATCTGTGAGTGATGCAGGAAGAAATAATCGAGTTAAAGGCAATACGCGCGTCATCAAACCAGTGTATATGGAACCGTTCAACGGAAATTTCTTTTACGGCAAACCGCTGCCTGGTTATGAATATTCAGAAAGAAGTGAGGAAAAGCTTACGTATCTACCGGATTCCGATACGGTTACTGCTTCTGAAGACTACACAGTGGAATCACTTACAACCGCTGCTACTATTGTAGATGCACCGGAATATGTCAGGAATCCTCTATACGGATATTCCCATACAGATGTACGCGTTTCGACACCTGAATACTTAAGCGATTCAATAGGCTCGAAAGATTCACAATTAAAGTCATCAAGTTGCACTGAATTAAGAAAAACGATGGACAGTACGGATCAATCCAGAGATGTCTTAACAACCATTCTCAAGGATTACAAAAGAATAATGAAAGAATGGAATCATACAATAAATGATCATTGTCCTTCTCTTTCTCATAGCAGCAAGAAAAGTATGTCTAGTTGCATGCAAAGTTTACATTCCACTCTTCCGCGTCGAAAAATAAACAGGTCTTTCAAAGTTTCAAGGAGTAATACCTATACCCGTACTTATTCGGGAAAATGCAAGAGGTACCAGATGTCAAATGAGAGAAAAACTCAAAGTTTACACAGAAATCAAACATTTAGTAATTGGACGTCAACGTTGCAGAAACTGAAAAAAAAATCTAAGTTTTGGAAGACCCATGAAAGTTTGGCGGCGTCGGAGTGCGAGTGTTTGGAAACTATTTACGAAGATTATGACAGACGTTTACAAGATTGGTGTGATGCAGTTAGTTACTGCTCGTCTTTGATTAGCTCGGTATTATTTATAAATTATTCCATAAAAATAAAGCTTTTTAAAACATAAATAATCTTCCCTTTTGTTTGTTTTAGGGGTATAAGGAAGAAATAGAAAAATCAGAAAATCAAAATCTACTACCTTCAACATTAGTCGGACAAGCAGATGTCCTGTTCGGTAATCTACACGAACTCTTCACATTCCACCAGGATGTGTTTCTAAAAGACTTGGAACGATCGATCTCAGCGACAGAACTTGTTGCATTATGTTTTGTGGAAAAAGTGAGTTCATTTTTGCTCTTTTATTACATAGTCTTGATTATACATAGCTAAGCTATTTGATAAATTCATAAATAATTATTTATGATTTGTCACACATACATCGTTATATTTTGAAATAAAATGTACTCATATGTACCCGTAAAATTATTAAACGTCTAGTAAACCAATTCAATTATGGAATGAACTGTCCGGTCCTTATCTTTCGACCTAAAACACTACAAGAAGACTGTAATCGTTATGAATAAGGTTGGAAATTGATAAATTGTTCTTCACCTTATTATTTTGTTATTTTTCCAGAGGGAGACATTCTTCCGTCTGTATAGTTATTATTGTCAGAATATTCCGCGCTCTGAACGACTACGCGAAACATTAGTGGACACACACCTGTTCCTGCAGGCGTGTCAGTTGAGGCTCGGACACAAGCTACCCCTCGCCGCTTACTTACTCAAACCTGTACAAAGGATCACTAAATACCAGTTATTATTAAAGGTAAGTTTTAAGACCGAATATTTGTTATACAGATAAGACTTCATAATCGTGGCGTTGTTGGATACAGGTCTCTCCTTATCAGGCGAAAATTTCAGTGCTTGCTATTATAATATTAGTCAAGTTAACTAATGCACTATCGATAGCGGTCGAAAAATGTAAAATATTTGAACTTAGAACTTAATAATTATAATAAAAAAGAATAAATGAACTTAGACTCGTAAACACTATTGTGATAATAAAGTTAATATTGAACTTTACATACGAGTACATATACTTGCAAAAAGGAAACCAAAATAAATAAAATGAAAAATTATAACATTTAGGCCCTAAGGGCTATCTTAGCTAATGAATACCTTTTATACCAATGCATTTCTTTTTATCTATTTAAGAAAGAGTGTTCACAATTTTCTTGCAGGACCTACTCCGGTACAGCGAGTGTGGCTCGATGACAACTGGTATCCAGCAGGCACTTGACTGTATGCTCGTTGTACTCAAATGCGTCAACGACTCCATGCACCAAATAGCGATCACTGGCGTACCTGTAAGTTCCACAAATATTTTAGCAGTACTTTTTCCTACATCAAAAAAGCTAACGCCATCTAATTAAAAAGTAACACCTTATTACAACTTATGAGACTTTCGCTCATTCTGCAGAAGAATGTACCTATAGCGTACCTATATATATATATAGGTACTATACTTTAGGGCTAAACCGTAAAGCCTATTGCTGATTGTAGAGATAGGACTATTTTAACCTCCACCAAAATAACTGGACACTATGATTTTATTTAATGGAATAGCAAATATTCTGATACGTTACCTGATATAGGTGTTTGCCGTCATATTGATCAGTATGGATATCACAAAACTTTCCTCATGTGTTACAAGGAAGAGGAAATCCGAAAAAAATAGAAAAATATGGGTACAAACCTCAAGGGAAATAAATGTCAACAATTCTCTAATCCTTTAGTAATTTTGCATCTATAGTAATAACATTTTTCCTGACCTTACAATCAAATATTTTCTCCTTCAGGTGGATCTCAGCCAACAAGGCGAGCTACTAATGCAAGGCTCGTTCCTGGTAGTATCAGAGAACAAACGAGACATCCGGCTGAGAATACGGCCGCGTCGGAGACACATCTTCCTTTACGAAAAGGCGATGCTCTTCTGCAAACCAGCAACTAAAAATAGTCATAATAAAGCAACTTACCACTTCAAACACGATCTACAAGTAAGCACAGTTTATAAATAAAAAGTAATACTTATAGTTAAACATTATACAACCACATCAATTATAATACGTAAATTAAAATATCCAGTGTTCTCAGAAATTATAATAACATAATCAATGTATGATAATATTACCGATTGTGAGGTCGACGGTGACGAATTTTTGTAATTTAACATTTGTAATTTTTCCCCAGTCAGATTTCGTAACAAACATCCATACATATAGTCACATTATACCTATTAGTATACTAGATTATGTTCGCATATTACCTTAATGTAGTTTACATTATAGCTAATTGTAACGAACTGAATTTTTCAATTTATAGACATTCTTTGGCTGATGCTGATATAGACAAATACATAAATTTATGTATTAATTTCCAGATGTCACAAATCGGCCTAACAGAATCAGTAAAAGGAGATCCACGCAAATTCGAAGTATGGCGACAAGGCAGACAAGAAGTCCACACTATAACAGCACCCAATATTGAAGTAAAGAGGGCGTGGGTCGACCGCATCAAGCGAGTATTACTCGACCAGTTGAAAGAGCTGAAAGGCGAGAGAGTACGGCAGTATGGTGCACAGCATCATAGGTTAGTAACCACTTAAATGTATACCAATATTTCATCTTGGACTTGAATTGATATGCGGTCGAAGTGAGAGCGAGAGGCACCTATACTAGAGAAATGTCTCTGCAATCTTCTAAAAGATCTTACATTGCCTGTCTAGAATTGCAGTAAGTTCTATACTAGAACGTATATCTAAAATTGCATTAATAGGCTCATCCACCAGAAATAGCAGGGCAAGGCAAAAACACGAGCCGTGAAGGCGATTGACGTACGGCGGCGCACGGTGAATCTATGGAATGCTAAGTTCGTCTCACTATCATTATATAATCCGTACATTTACAGGACGTTAATCCAAGCGAACTCATGGGACGTAACGCCGGGCAACCCCCCGAGGAGCGCGCCCCCCGCGGCCGCGAGCCCCGCGCCCCCCGCGGCCCCCGCGCACGCCCGCGCCGCCTCCTGCGACGCGCACGACGAGCCCTGCTGGTCCACCGACCCCTCCGACGACGACGACGACGAGCCCGACCACGCGCCGGTACGTATATCGCTGCTCGCTTCCCGCCCGCTACATACCACAAGGCTGCATGCTATAGCCTCACGAATCGGAATACTCATATGTACAAGGTATAGTCAAAATTATTGCCGTAACAATTTTTTAAGGTAGATTTAGTATGGGATTAATAGGATTGTAAAAAGTAGATTCTTGAGAACAATTATTTATCGTTCTTACTTTATTAATGAATAAAATATAATTTAGAAGCTAAATGTTGAATATTCCTAGTTATAGTTTAATTGTGCTCTACATATAAAACCCATATTTATATCTCTTAACTTTATCAGAACCTCTAGCATTGACCTGTGTTGCGGTTTGACTATACCTTAAATAATTTTTCAATTTATGTAAAAATGGATAAATTACGTACAGTTAAAATAAATATAAAATATAAAAATAATTCATTCTAAATACATAGGTAATTGGCCTAAGCAATTTGTCAATATTTATATGTAAACTTTTGTGTACGTCCTGTAATGTTTACTAACTAAACTCGGTAAGGCTTTTGGGGTAGCTTGACTAAATGCGGGTATCTACAATTAATGCCAACTAATTTTGGGTTTGCAGTGTTGAATGAAGTGAAAACCACTCGCTATGTAAGTGTAAAGTGTTTTATAAAGGAATGCGGGCTGAACAGTCACGGGTAGCGCATGATGAAAGCTGGCAACCCGTTCGCACTTTGCTTCCCCGTAACATGAGATGTACAAAAAAATGTCTACGGAATAATTATATTAGTGGTGGAAGGAAATAAAAACTCATTTTTGACAGAGAATTTGGAGTAGTGTAGCCTATTAGATATAGTTTAATCATGTTCCCTGTTCTACTACAAATTCTCCGTTCCAGTAAGAATTATTTACCGTACCGTAATTACCCAAGTCCAAGATTCACGCCGTCACTGCCTAATTAATTTAGCAATACCACTCCATCATCGCTTAATTAGTTATTTTTTAATTATAAAATAATTTAGGCACTGGCACCGAAGATATTTTCAGTTACGCACTGTTAAGCACCGATATTAAATTACAATTTAATTCACCTTAACGTATCAAGGTGTATATACATTTTGATAAACCACGATGAAAATGGCTGTGCGCTATTGGCGCCATCTTGTCGTGTGTCGCGCGATTCAAAATGGCCGCCTTGTCTTAAGTTGTATTGTTCAACAGGTGACGGAGGCCGTCGGTCTCAACGGTACCATACACAGAATGGTACAATTCTTTTCGGTATCGGGCTCCACGCAAGCCACGTCCACATTTTACGTGTCACAGTACTGATAGTGTACCCTTTACAAGCGCACAGGCGTGTAGAGGTTTTGTAAATACAATGAAAAGAGACTGATTTAATATCCAAAGTTTTTTAACCAAAGAGTAAACAACGAACGTGGATATATCAGTTGTAATTGCCGAACATTAATTATCCGTGTAAGTCATGTTTTGTTTGTATGTCACTCATTGTCAGTGTGCTTTCTCGTTTTGTTAATCTTGCGCTTGCTTTGAATAAATGTTTGCGACATCATTGTTGATGATTATTTTAATTTTTATATCAGTTCATGAGATATGTAGTGTTAATATTATAACTATCCTAACTGAATATTTACTATGTAAATATATTTATTAATTAAATACTCGACTATTAATGAGTACCTACATACATAAAATACGTATACATATATATTTTAATTATAGATCATGTAAGATTACTGTTATCCATATCCATAACAAAAGTAGGAAATATACACATAATAATGTCTAAAAGCACATACCTACTTATATATAAAATAAAGAGGTTTAGGTACATAATTACTGTACTGATAGTTTAATATCTCTTTATTCTACAACTGACCACTTCTTATGACACTTCTTATAAAGCACAGCACAGCACCAAATCGATTGTCTTATACACAGCTTGAATATGCGTACTGCTTGTATTCACTGTTTTCATTCACATACGTACAACACAAGTGTTTAAGTGTGTAGTATCTCTTGTGTATTTACATAGGTATGCCAAATTTATCATTTCAACATTCCACCACTTCACACGCTGGACTATATATAACGTATATATATATATATATACAGAAAGAGAGAATAATTGTGAGTCTTTTTAAAGAGTGTCTCTTTCAAAATTAGCCACAATAATAATTTAAGAGCAAGATTTCCTATAATGGTTTCATAAGATTTTTGAAAATCTGGTAAACATCGGTCAACGCCTAAGAAATGACTGTTTTCAACGATCTTATGATGAATATTGGATGTGATACACTATTTAATTATATAATTCTGGATTTCCAAATTACTCAAAAATTTTTTTGGCGTAATTTCATGCCGAGCCCTACGAAAAAAATACTAGAAAATTTTAGTCCAATTAAGCCACAATACACAATTACACATACAATAATATCTAATTATATTTTGTTGACAGAATTTATAGGTTCAGTAATGTAATTATTTTGGCATACCTTTTTTCAGAAATTATTTCACTAGCAAAACTGCAATTATTTTGAGTTGATAAGCACTTCAATTGGACTGTAATATGGACGTGTAAATCTGTTAATTTCCCGTCACTATAACCTACTCTATGTATTACAATTATTGTTATATTTAATTATGTAATATGTATTATTATTTTACATATTTATTACTACTATTTTAAAATCTTGACGTATATTATGTCCTCATATAAAATTTAGGAGCCAATTTCTGAGTTGTGTCACAGAATAATTGTTATTACCAGTTATTCTATGGTTTTACTAATATTATCCTCAAAATGTAAGTTTTAGTAGATATCAGTACAGACTCACACCAAATAACTGAACTTGTTTGTCAGTTATGATTTTAATTGAATTTATAAGCTCTTCCGTATATTTGCTTTGGTGATGTTTACGATACTTTTGCAGGTATATATTATTAGTATTTAGATCTCAGAAACCATTTAGTATCTATTGATTTTTGAGGATAGATGACGTTTATTTTAATCAAAACAATAACATAGAATGACATAGACAATGAATAGAACAACCTCAGACAATAGGAGACTTTTAAATTGTATAATTTAAGAACCGCATTCAGAAAACCATTTTCATTGATCGATGGGCAAAATAATGTAGTGTATTATTTAAAACAAAACCCGAAATACGATAAAATCAGAATTCATTGTGAAATTGAGGATCTCGGCATGCCGGTTTTAAAGTGGTGGATCTAGATGAATTTCTTTTGTTTATCAATCTAGCTAATCGATAAACAAAAAACATTCATTTTAGATCAATAGTAACCGTTAAATCATCCGATTGCCCATATTTCCCCCTACTTATCGACCCATGAAAATAAACTCTTATCTAATCAACTTGCCTATTACTATATATACCTATACATATATAAATATAAGAATTTATTACATAAAATATGTACATGTAAACAAATGTTTATTACAGACTTTGCTTCACTAACGCATGGTTTAGACGCAGTGACTGCCAAACTGATTGAAAGCGATATAATCGTGTGTGTAATATTTGCTATGAAACGTTTGTTCAAGGCAGTTTGGCTAGTGGTGGAGGTGTGCATGCGCAGTCAATGTAATCTGAATGGTTTGAAACTATATAAAAGCTAGAATCACAGTAGGTAAAATTAAATCCATATTATAAGTCAGTGTTTTTCAAAATGTCGGCGTCCTCTAGGCGGCTAAATGTTACTCACATTATATATTTTTAAATGATAAATATTCTATTGAAGACGTCAGATTGTCGTCGGCGATATATACCTACTATTTATTCATTATTGTAACTATCGAAACGGTGGCATTTATTTAAACTAACAAAGGGACTGCCTCTAAATTTGATTTTGCACTCAAGTTTGAAAAACACTGCTCAATATGAAGATTGAAAAGTTCAAAGAATATTCTCCATGAATTAATGTTCACAACTTTTTATTTCGTGGTGTGATTCTAGCTAGATATCATTCACGATGTACCAACTTGAAACACAAAGTCTATACATTTTTTTCTTCAAATACTGAATGTGGCCTAAATAAAAAAAAAGGTACCGTACTTTACATAAGTTGCTTAATGAGGCCTATAGTTGAAGTATTATCTCTATATTCTCACGTTGGCTAGAATGCAAGTAATCTGTATTTCAAGCTTAACTCTTTCATATGTCTACTATTTGAAAGAGATGGATGACTATGATCAAGGTATAGGTCAGGTTAAATTAAACAAAAAACATCTTGACTAGCCCTATACCTTATGAACAATGCGCCACCAAAAGCTTCCGAATTACGTAACATTCACAACAACATCATACAAGTCACGCATCATATTGTTAACAAAGCACGTGGCATTGAAAAGACACGGTATGGCGCTGTAAATAAGACTAAAGTTGCATTGGGTGCGCAGGCGGTGGGGTGCGCGTTAGTTGCACTGTCGGACTACACGGCGGTGGGCGCGAGCGAGGTGTCGCTACGGGAGGGCCAGCACGCTGAGCTGCTGAAGGTTGGCTGTGCTGGGTGGTGGTACGTGCGGCTTGCAGGTGCGTATCGTTAGGCTCAAACTTCATAAAAAGAACAATGCCATACCAACACACCGAATAAGAAATAAACATAAGTACTTCAATGGGTAAGTTTAATCGTGCTTTGCTTTTGTGCTATGTTCTGTTCGCAATAATTTTAACTGAAGAAAATTGTTATAGGCAACTATTTACATTAAGTCTCGTAATGTACCATATATGTATACAAAATAAGAAATTAATCCACGGATCCTACGTTTTTGTCGATTTCAAACTATACATGATTTTACGGATTACTAAAAACCACCAGTGGAGGATCTTTTTTCTTTATTTTATAGATGATAATGGAATGGTGCACCCGCCTGCGCTAACGGTTTACGCTGGCGGGGCACAAGTGGAGGATGATAAGATGAAGGAAGATGAGGTCAGGTCAGTTAGCCCATCGTGACAAATTCACCAGGAAGTTATCACGATGGTTTCCAGGGGAACCGCGTGGAGGTCAACCTGACATGGTACATTGCAACAATGGGGTCATGAGTCCACATTATTAACAATCCCCTTCCCCCCCAGTGGAGGATCATAAGTACGATTTCGAGTTAGGTAACCCAAATTCACCAGGAACTTATTACGATGGTTACCAGGGGAGAACCACATGCAGGTCAACCTGACATGTTACATTGCTAGCAATGGGTTCATTAGTCCACCTTACTAGCAATCCATTCGCCACTAAACATATCAGTTAAGTACTCAATATAAACCTACTATATTTTTACTAAATAGTGTTTCAATTTGTGTAATAGTATCATGTATAGCCCAAAATTACAAAAAATGCAATAAACTTTTACTTTCCATATCTTGACTCATTGTTAACATAAGCCATATCATAAATGTGCAAGTATATATATATCTGTTTTGTTGCCTTTTTTTACTACATGACTGAAAGGATCTCAATGAAAGACGTGAAGATAGATTGCGTAACAAGGCAGACATAGGCTATTTTTTATATCATAAAAGTGAACAAAACGTGGGTAAGAATTATATTTGTGTTTTATAAATTCAGGTGGCAACGGCGAAGGATGGGCGCCGGCAGCGTACCTCGACCAGCGCAAAACGTCACGATCGTCGAGTCGCTCGCACGACCGACTGCACGACCACTGAGCGAGTCCATATAGTAGTGAGGACGCGCGACACCGCCCGCTCGGAGGCCGCTCATCACTGTTTATGCACATACGCGGACCACATCCCTGGAGAACTAGTACTCAGTCTTCAGATGCAGTTCCCGTGTCTAAGTTTAAAGTAACGTCCCACGGCAAATAACCTACTGCTTATAGCCATGTTGTGTATAGTTTAGTAAATAGGATATTGATTGTCAATATCGAACGGTCGATGGATTAGATGCGTGGCTATTGTTAAAAGAGTTAGAGAACTGGTAATTCAGTTTTAACCTTCAGACGCAGTTTTCGTATGTAAATTTAAAATAATAACTCACCGCTAAAACATTTCAATATATATATATATACATATATCAAACCCTATAAATTTCAAATAGATGAAAATTTTAATTTTAATGTAACTGCTGTACTAAATTTCTACGGAAAATACGGTTTTTACTTTAGAAATGGAAACATTTCATTACAATATTAATGACACATGATTTAGATTTATAGAAACCATAATGGCTACTTCTCCTATAACATGACCCCAGTTAGAGGGTGATTTGTTGAAATGAATGTACGACTATATAGCTCTGCTTTATGTTATATTTGTCTACTCGTGTCTAAATCATTATAGTGCTAGCTTTGAATGTTATAACTGTGTCAAGAATATGTAGACGCGTCAATGTGATCTGTCCTATAACGTCGAACAATAAATAGGGGAGAGGGTGGCAAGATGGGGTACTTAAGCTTTCAAGGTCAATAGCATAAAAAATACCGTAGTGAAACAAATATATTTATTTTATAATTAACAACTAATTAATATAATTCTAATATTTGGTGTCATTAGTAGGTTTAAGTAACACGTTTAAGAGAAAAAATAAAAAATAAAAAAGAAGTGTTTTGCCCCGTCTTGCCCCATGGTGCTGGTAAGATGGGGTACCCCCTAAGGTAAGATGGGGTGATGAGAATGATCATAGAGAAAGATGATTATTCGAGCTGGCAAAACTAGACATGTATGGCTTTGTCATCATCATCATCTATTCCTGCGCAACTATTATGAGCCCATCTGCCACATAATGAGCATGATATCCACCCTTCAATGGAAACGGAATATATTTCCTCGCAATACATACACGGTGTGTTCCCCTCTTCTTGACTTTCATCTTCATATGATGAAACTCCTCGTCGTATTGCTCTTTTGGGTGATGGGCTGTTCTTCTTTATTTTTTATTTTGAGTTTTTGTAGTAGTTTTCTTCTGTTGTTTTAATTCATCTTTTCTCTTTTTTATCTCTATTTTCTCTATTTTTTCTGTTCAGCAACTTTTTTTTTGCGAGCGATTACTTCTAATTCTTGTTTGTAAGGAGACGACGTGATAATTTCTGTTTTTCCACGCTTTTTAACAACACGAGAGGACTTTTTAGTAAGCGGAAGTGGATATAGTTCTTTTGGAGAAGTCAAAACAAAGCTACCCCATCTTACCTGCAGAGCCCTTTTATATAAAAATAAAAACAAAAGCAAAACAGCCAACAATCTTTAGGAAACATAATGCATACCTTATTATAGAGTTTAAACGTCAGTCACAGCAACACCTCACCAGCTAACGTTATTTAATAAACCACAGTCACGTCAAGCCAGAAGAAAATATGATAAGCAACATGCAGTAAAATACTTATTTTGAATTTTTTTCGACACTGTGCACTTGTGAACCACTAATCACCGGGCGACTATTAACGGTCATGGCGGCGCGTCGCACGATGAATGAACGAGTGTGATTGGTCAATTAGAAAAGTGAATTTCGCTGGGTACCCCGTCTTACCCACTACCCCGTCTTACCTCCCTCTCCCCTACTTGTTAATAGATGTAAATGTTACTCATAAAAGCTTTATTGTAAATTAGTATATAAGATAAGACTCGTTTTATCACTGTGAGTATCCAAAGTTATCGATAGAGGAAGTTACGTAGAACAATGTTGAGTAGCCGTGGCTGTTTTGAAATATTCTTGTACATACACTTGTAATTAATTATAATTAATTTATTTCGTTGCTATACGAGCTTTCAGTGTTAATGTATATGTTACAATATTCCATGACAGTCCTGGTGGGGCTTTATCCACAAAAGAAAATAGGGACCTGTAATTTTTTTAATTAATAATTATAGGCGTAGTTGTATTTGTATTGAATAATCAGTCACTTTGATAGCATTTGTTAATATTGCTCTATGAGCATCATTTCTGATCAACTATATCTAAATTAAGTAACATCCAATGAATTATGGATTTATATGAATACAGTTATTAATTTGCATATCCGTATTGAATCAATCAAATATTACGGAATGATTATAAAGATATTATACATACATGTTTGCTAGTCTGCTAAATATTTTTATCATCGTAATAAGATTATTAAAATATATTAAGGATCAAAATACACGCAAAGCATATCATGAGAATGTTATATTTTTCAGAAATAATTTTGCATTTTATTTTAATGCTTCTTGTGTCACATCATAGTACCTGTTATTACTGTCAATATAAAAATGTATTATTACCATTTCTTAATCTTTTGTATAAAGTTATGTTCATTTTGAGCTGATTACAATTACACAAAATTTGTTTATTTATTTGTCATTTTATTTATCTATTCTGCATTTAGCCATCTATACATAAATTAAAGTCGAAATCATATCGCCCATTTGGACATCAATTTGTTGGTATGCTTTAAATCATGCAACTAGAAAAATTTGCACCCATATTTTTAATTCTGTACTGAAGTCTGCATTATTAGTCACATTAGGGTTTATAGGCGCATTAGCTATATACATACTTTTTATTACATTATTTGCATAATTGTAATGTCAATATTAATTTACATTCTCATATGTATTATAAAACTTTAAATTGTTTAATAACATATAAAAATACTTAATCGAAAATAGTCAAATACTTTCAAAAACATGCTCGCTTTTAGTAAATAATATGCGAATAAAAACCTATGCGCCATAATATTCTGCACACCATCTTTAGCCATTGCTCACTACCAGAAAGCTTTAATTGAAGTGGTTGATATAAAAGTGCAAATAAATTTTATAAACGGCTGTGAAATATCAGTGATGATTTTTATAAGGTTTTTGATTACCTACACTTACAACGTTTAATAGTACTAATAATTACATTTTATAATATCTAATATTATAACATAAACGTAGCATTGTAGATATAGTGGTGTTAACTCAATTTTTAATGTAGCTTCTGATAATGATTTCCTTTTTGGCAAAAGACCATGTCGCATAATGAGCTGTCATATGGTCGGGAAGGTAAAGCTTTATAGAAGAATCCAACCTGTACCTTATTCCGTAATATTTACGGAGAAATGTATTATTTCCCGGTAGTAAATATTGTAGGTATACTCGTTCGTGTTATCGACTAATGAAAGTAATAATAATAACCCTGGATAATTCACACAGCGCCATCCAGTTGTCCCAAGATAAGCAAGTATACTAGCTAACTGTTAGAAATTCTTAAATGCTTTTTTGTAAACACATAAAAAAATACTGAGACCAATAGATCGGAATACAGCGTACTCAAGATTACAATGTTTGCAAGTGCGAGTAATCGAACCTGCGACCACCGAAACTATGATCGTTGCTCGGCATGCGTGCGCGTGCTTCTCTTGAGAAATGTTAAAGTGACATGTTTTGAAATATGCTTTGGTGTGATGTGTGCCTTCATGTATGTTTGTCCACCTTTGATCTTACCAGTTTGTGAGCTGCAGAAGAAAAAAGAGCATCGGAGCGAGGACAAGTTGGTTGATTGACCTGACGCTCCGATTCAGAGTTCAAGTAGCGAATGATCGATAAATTGCAGGGGGATATTCCCCTCCACACTACAATTTTATCGCTGAACAGTCTCTAAGATGTCTAAGATCAGAAAAAATGTAGTCATTCAGACATTTTGTCATGCAGTCATGTAGACATTTTTTTTTGTGAAATAATCAGGAATTTAGTAGTTTTCAGGCAAATCGCATAGATTTCGACCTGACTTGATACATTGCTGGCAATGGGTCACTAGTCCAGTCCAGTCCATATTCCTACTCCCTCACTTTTCTATAATGTAGTGTTTTATATGTAACCACTTTCTACTTATAACAATGTGAACAGATTCTTAGATATTTTACTGTAACTGGTAGGATAGTAGATAAGCAATCTTTCCTCTACATCTTGATAAAATAAATACAATAGATTTTTTAAAAATTTGCAATTGGTTAAATTAACATAAACTTGCTTAAACTCTCTGGCTGACTGAAATAACAAACGCGCAGCCAAAAACAGACGGAATTGGAAATATGAGATATAGATAGCTTTTATGACGTAAAACATCTCATTTCCTAAAACTATGAAGATAATGGGCGATAATACGTCCTAATGAGTAAAACTATAGCCAAAGTTCATAAGAGGTTGTATAAGAGTGATGAGTAATTTTATCTAGTCTATATATCTGTTAGAAGATTGTGTAAGATGTATTTATACATTGTATTGTATATTATAATAAAATATACATAGTTATATCATTTAACAGTTGATAAACTGAAAAGTATAATGTGGGTCGTTAACCCTCGACCCAAAAAGATGTATTTTATAAGTTTGATGTGTCTGTCTGTCTCATTGTAGCTCCTGGGCTGATTATGATGCGGTTATTTTGTTTAAAGGCTATCATAATTAAAATTGTTCTCAGCTATAATTTCTGAAGACTTCTTAAGCGCGAGGAGATCATTTTCGGAAATTACTTAAATTTTAATGTTACTTGTTTTAAATTCAATGTTAAAATTTATTGAACAGCTAATCGCATTTCAACAATAAATTATATTTTGTTTAATCGTAACATATAATTTATCTAGTTACTACAACTGCAACAATAACTAATGTACTTATAGAACAGACTCGACATCAATTTGCTTCGTTTATTCGCACATAAGTCTAAGTTGAGTTTCTTATTCCGGTAGCATGCAGAATTCTCAAACAATAACAGCAATGACGGGTTTCTATTAAATTTGATATTAATTCCGAAGATAATAACAATGCTAAAGTTCTAGCACTAGCATTGTTGTTGACATCAGGGTTAGTTCTTAAAATTATAGCAAAACCGAAAGCCTATGATAATATTTATGAAACAGAAATTTTTCAAAATAGCAAAGTAGAAAATAGAAAGTCTAATATTATTAACTTTTCCTGATTTCAACTTTAATATTTGGAGAATAGGGTTCAGTTTCATAAATATTGACTGCGTTATGCCGCCGGAATCGGAACCATATTTTTTGCGATATAATCACTTAATTATTTTAAATGATAGTTATGTAGCGTTTTATTTTTATTCTCGTATTATAATAATAATATTAAATATTTTTTTTGGAATGGAAAGTGTATGACTTCGCCTTTATTCGAGCTTAAGTAACAAAATACCTACGTTAGTTTTTACTCTCCTAATCAATAGTACCTATGTACCTAATTACCTGGAAATAAATTTATCGTATTCAAATGAATAGTCTTTTCATTCACGACAAAAACCTCGTTCTTTATGATTAAATTAATTTAAAGATAAGAGTACATTTATAATTAACGATGCAGTTATATAAGCTAACATAATAAGTCGTTCAATGTATCATATCATATCAATGTACACTTTCCAGTTTATGATAAACTTATCATACTCATTTATGTTATGAAATGAAACGAAAACTTCCATGTTACCAGTTCACTGTATTCATCCACGAAATATAGTCTCTAAAATAGATAACTAGATTTTCGATAAATTGATATAGAAAAAAAACAACCTCCACATTTATCAATCACTATAAAAGTTTGATTTGTACACACTTACGCTTACATAATGATATGTTACAGACAAATTACTGACTTGCTCGGTTTCTGCTGAAAATGCGACTTTTAAATATGTTATCAATTTTACTGAAAACCTCTTCAGCTGGTTTTGCGGCGTCCACCCTGTAATGCAGACCTTTTCTCAAGTAATAATCAACCAGAGGCACGGTCTGCGCATGGTAGGTCGCTAACCGCTTCTTCAACGCCTCGACATTATCATCTGACCTTTTTATTAAGGGCTCGCCACTTACGTCATCAATCATGGGTTTCTTGGGCGGATGGAATTCTTCGTGGTAACTTCGTCCACTTGATGGGTGGATCAGTCTGCCAGTGATTCTACGTACAAGCAAACTATCCTGAATTCCGAACTCAATAACAGCATCCAGTTCTGTTTTCCTCTTTGCCAACAAATCATCCAGCTAAAATATGAATAGCTTTATTATTTACAGAGAATATAATATACAAGTACAGTAGCAAATATAAATAACACCATCAAATATCATAATTGAGTGGTATTATTAAATAAGACAGATAACAAACACTATGTCACTAAAGTAAAGATAATGAAAGTAATCAATTACAAAGATGTATTATTAAATGATAAAAATGTAGTATATAATAATAAAATCATATTTGCTGAAGTAAACATATTTGAGTGCTTCTAATTTAAAGATAAAAATTTTAAAGTAGCAACTATATCAGTAAATACAACTTCAAAAATTTACTGCTAAAAAAATACTAAGTATAGAGTATTAAGTCTTTATTACACACTTTCAGATGAAAATGACCAATTTGAAACTTAAGCATAGTCCAAGTAACCACTTTAAGGAAAACAGAGCACAAGTAATTTCCATTTCAGGTTGAGTAAAATATAATTACGAAAACTATATAAAATTACGACATTTTTAATGCATGCTATTTGTGCAAATTTTTTCTTGTTTAGTAATTAATATAATTAAAAATACTATAATGACATATGACAGGATTCAGTGAAATAAATTACCTTCTGTGCTTGGGGCACAGTTCTTGGAAATCCATCTAGCAGAAAACCATTTTTGCATTCAGGTTGATCAAGATTCTTATCGATCATATCAACAACCATCTCATCAGAAACTAGCTTGCCTTCATCCATGACCGTCTTGAGGCGACGTCCAAGAGCTGAACCTGACGAAACTTCCGCACGAAGCATATCACCGGTTGATAAATGGCACACACAGTATTTTTCTTTCAGAAGAGGAGCCTGTAAATATATACCATACTAATATTCATACCATATACTATTTTAATACACTTTCCAATTTCTGATATCTTATGATGTATTAGGATATAGCTTGAAGTCCAAGTAATTGGGAGTGCATGCTAGTGCTTAATGACCAGGACACTTGTATTACTAGAAAGTAAATAAACACACATCTCATTCATCCATATATAAAAAAGTAGAAACTATTCAAGTGTCCTTTGCAATCCAACTAGTTTGGAAGGGCACTCCCAAAGACACTACAAATATACTAAAGACTTTCATTCTTTAGCTTGCTAATTAGTTTTATAAAACACTATTGAGCACTATAGTCTACTAATTATTATGCACAAGACTAGTAAATACACAAAGAAAAAAATATAAAATATCCTTTAAAACATCCTTATAATTTAAAATATCCTTTTCATTACAATGACTGCTGGGATGACCACTGAACTAAACCTCTATTTGATGTCTATTGTGTACTGTTACTTATAGATCATCATGAAGAAGAAACAATATTATATCCAATATACTAGTCTACTACCATACCCACTAGTCATGAATGGATAACTAGACTAGTGGTCATCAATATCAAGGAATAAGAGAATATTATTATGTCTTTACAAGACAAACATTTTTAAAGAGTCATATATATGTATAGGGATATCTCTAAGAGGTTTAAAACACTTTAGATTCCATCTATTAAAAATTTATACAAAAAATTATCCTTTCTACTCATGTTTTGTAGACATAGTGCATTTAAAAATATAGCATTTGTCTTTGCAGTATACCACAGTAACCTTTACAGCACCCCTAACTGCCGGTTGTCAGTCTATTAAAGTATGTGTATTATTTGATACAAACTTTTAGTATTTATATTTTATGTTTTATAACTAAAACTATAAACATACGATATCGATAATTCGCTATTGTTATCATCAGCTTGCTTTACGTACTTTGAATAATAAATTATACAAAATATCTTTTGAAAACGTATATCCAGTTGAAGGTTAAACTGGTTAGGGCAAAGGTTAAAGAATAAAAAAAAATTAAACCACAGTACCAACCTGAGTTCCTTTACCTGAACCAGGCGGTCCCAAGAGAACTGCTCGGATGCCGATAGGATCATTGTCGGGCTTCGGCCTTACAGCTGGAGCCGCTGGAGCCATGACGAAAGTTTTCTTATGTTATTTTGTACAATAATCTACGAAACAACGACCGGCACCTCACAAGTAAAAAGTTAAACTTCAAAATAACTTTATTATGGGGCCTATTATATTAAGGAATATATATTTAATAGGATTGGAGTACGTAATAAAAGTATAATTTTTAGTTAAATATGTTGACGCGAATATATATACGTGGTGAATGGCAAAAGAAATAATTTGTGACTGAAAGTGAAGTCTAAAAATAAACACGTGTATGTCAACTGTCCAGAATGTAATGTCAATGTCAAAAACAATATAATAACGGTTTATTATTATAAATATTACAACACTAGAAATATCTATCTAAGCGTCTTCAATTTAATTGGCAGTCGTAAGTTTTATACGTCAGAATATAAAGGTCTAACCAAATTTTAGCGGCACAGAAGCGGCACGATATTGAGCTTATTTGATCCAACTCGAGGAGCAAGTACTCGATGCCATAAAAATACATTATTAAAAAATTTAACCTAACCTATAATATTTTTCTGTTTGTAAAACTTTTGTATTCGTAAATTTGAATTGTTAGTTCTCGTTATGTACTTCATTTAATAAAAAAATGAGAAGGGTGCGACGGGTAATGTGCTTCTATAAATGAAATAGACGTAATATATTCTAGACAAAATGGATAATCAACAAAAAATTACTACAAATACTAATGTCAGGTATAGAAGTTACATTTGTTTCATATAATGTACATACAACTGCAATTACTTGTCTGTATGAAACAATTAATATGAGGATCAATTTACTTCCAGTTATTGGAAGCAGTTATGGCGTTGGACCACCTCTGGTAGCCTGAAGAACGATGAACTCTTAGCAGTATTGGGCACCAAGGAAATCACAGATGCTCTTTGTCAAGGCCTCGCCAGCTACAAACCCAATAAACCTGAGCTATATGCCCAGTTACAACGAAAATATCCAGATCAAACTAAACTGTTGAGTGTAATTCATACATTACAGAATTATATGGTTTGTATTTTTAATTAATTTCATTTTTACAAATCGGTTTTCAAATGATTGCAGGAAGAAAACAGATACAAATTATTTATGTAGGACATTTTAGCCACTTATACTTATACTACAGTTTCAGTTAGGAAAATATGTATTTATATTTTAATGACAATTCTCTATACAATAATTACTTATTTTGATTTTAATTTTTATTTCAGGATATAGACTGCTTCAAATTATGGGATATTGTACAGTCATATTTGTGTGATATTTCGTATGGTACTGCATCAGATGCTATGAAAAATATTGCTTTTGTGGACACTAGACCTACATTTCTGCTTCCCAATATATGGAACTTTTATTACTCTGAAAGATTGTTTCTTTTAAAGTTATTACAGTATATTATAGAAGTTAAAGACAATACTAATCATGTTTATCAGAAAGAGTTTATGAAAATATATACAGACATAAAGGGAAATATTGTGGAGTCACTGATTTCACAGTTTGATAAGTTAATTTCCACTGCACCACCTTCTAGAAAGATTCAAAGTGATTTCAGCAGCGAAACTGTGAGACAAGAGTGGGCCGAGTCAAATCAGAGAGAACAATTGACTATACTACAAATCCTCTTAATACTTGCTAGTGAAACTTCTATCAATGATGAAAAATTCAATAAATTGTTATGTTTATTTAAAAAACACAACTTTGGTAAAAACCAAGGATACAATGAGCTTCTTGGAGAAACACATAGGGAGTTCTATATGAGAATCATGTATATAGAAGTATGCCTATTTATGGTTATATTAGATAGCAGACTGATGTAAGTTCCACAGAGTAATTATACATACTTGATAAATTATACCTACTACAGAGCTTAGAACTTATACAGCTTGCTGATAAATTTTATTTAGAGATTTACTTGTCTGGTGCTAATGTATTTATATTTTATTCCTTTATTTGTCTTGTATTGTGACTTTGTGCCTACACTATTTTTTTATATGATAATCTTAAAACTATATAATTATATGTAATTTAATTTAATGAGGTAATAGTTACTGAGAAATGATAAAGTACATAGAGGATTAGCCAAAATTACTCTTGGTCTGAGTTTAGAATTTCTTTTTTGCATATTTCAGTAAAAACCCATCATCATGGATAGAAACAACTAAGCAAAATGTGGAATGTGAATTGACGAAACTTCAGATGAATGTTGAACATAGTGCTATGCTTATTACATGGATGTTACTAACACTGCAGGTATTATTCATATAAACATATTATACATTACACAGAGTTAATTATTTGCAGATTGAATTTTTTTTTATAATTATTCTAATGCTGTTGACCATAGTTGCTCTTTATGGATGATATACAAAAAGGATTATGTAGAGACTGGAAACCAAATTTTAGCTGATAGATGTAGTAAAATAATCTACATAACTAATTAATACATATCAAAAATATGTTGTTTTAAAATCAAACCAAACCATCAGTGTGGGGTTAGATTGTATACTATACTGCAACACCGCTGTGTTCATTTGTTGCTTTAATTTTTAGTAATATTTGTGGTTTTTGAGATTTAATAATCAATTCTGCTCTTTATTTCAGAGTGAACAGCATTCAAGATTGTTTGAAAGCCATTATCAACATTTTGGCACTGTTGCACTTAGAATGCATGTATTTGAATTTCTACTAGAAATGCTGAATAACTCAGTTTTCTCTGTAAGTTTATCTTATTACTTGGAATTGAAATTGGAATGTACTTATAATATTTTCTTTTATGTAGGGTTAGTTGTACTAGCTCAAAAGTTAAATATAATTGTCATAAAACTGAATCACTTTCAATAAGAAATAAAATGGAATACTGATAATAAATAATTAATCCTATATCACTGCACTTCCCAAAGAGAAGAGTCAACCTATACCAATATGATGTGGTACAAACCACATTATATTGGTCAATAAAGCATATAAATATATAAATAAATTGTGGTTTCTACTGCAGTCTTTTTACTGCTGTCTCTCTATATATTCATTATATAAATGACCTTATGTAACCAGGACAATTCAAAATGCTCGAAAATCGCAAGACAACGTGTCTTTTGTCTTCTAAATGATTTGTGCAATAAATTTGACGGCGACGGCACACTAAGTCATCAACCCGGTATAATACAACTCTGTGCGGACCTACTCAAGACACCAGATATAGCGAACCAATTCTGGAAGCTGCACCAGAAAGATGACGATAATGGAGTGGTGTCACTTTGGAATACTGCTCTGGAATATTTTCCATACAATTTCAATGCACTGTCCATTTTGGCTGCTGGTTTAGCTGAAGCTGGAAAATCAAGTGTTATTAATGTAAGTCCATTAACTACTACCATACTCATTATTTTATCATATTGCATTATAATAAGTAATAATAGTCAAGAAAGTTTCTTCAATTGTTTTTAAATCATCATTTGATATGAGTGCTTAGAGTAAAGAAGAAGAGCACAGAAATGGATTGGACTGAAATATTGTGATTAGACTAGAGAGATTAGAATAGACTAGAGACTTAGAAATTAACGATTTAAATTCCTTTTATGTATATAAAAAACTTCTTTTTGTGACTTTAATATAAGTTAAATATATGCTTTCTCTGGGTTTTTTGTAGGCTCTACAACATTTCTCTAGAAGTCAATCATACAACTCTTGTATATACGGCCACACTCATAAGAATAATTTTTTGTTTTGACCTGTATTTCTCTGACTTACTTTGCAAATCTGATTACCAGGAAAGTCTTTTCACCACTTACAACCTCACAAGCTCCCAAACTTTACTTTTTTATATTATTAATATAAGTTTTAGAATAAATCTTAAAGTTAATAAATCTCTTAGTTAAATCTTTTTTTGTATTGCAGCTTATAGCAGAATTAAAAAATCTACCTGTATATACTGAAATATACAACCCAAATGCCGTACCAGTCATGTCTTTGCAATTGGATGATGCTATCATTGGCAGAGAATATTACCCGTTGGGAGACTTATCATATCGCATTGAAGCTGGGTCAAAGGCTACTATCATGGAGAGGAAAGAAGGCACCATGATACACTTTCGCACACCATGTTCTTATTGGACAGTATTTAATAATGAAATAGGGAAGGCATTAGATCGTAAGCAACATCATCAGCACAACATAAGTTTGACTTTGGAAAGGGTATATGAAGGAACCAAGATCTTGAAAGGTAAGATAGAGTCATATTTAAGTTTTATTAAACCAGATGAAAAACGTGTAGTGTGATAGGTATTACTTCGCCACTGTAGCATTATGTATGTGATGAGGTGTTGTTACTTCATTCATTTGTTCCCTGTAGCATTTTGATAATGAGTGTACAGGTGAAATGTTAGTACATGTATACAAGTATTTTTTTTTCTATATTACATCTACACTGCAATTATTAACCAAAATCTTTCATTTTAAATTACATTTTCATGTACAGTGTATTTTTTTTGGGTAATGCACCAGCCTGCGCTCACTGCTTACCCTAGCGGGGCATAAAATGAGCATGAACTCATTTATCCCAACTTGGCAAATGGCGATTTAATAACATGAGAATAAAAATTTTGTTCTGAATGAATTTGACATAATAAATATTATTACATTTAAAGGAATACTGAAAGCTTTAGTGGAAGATCAAGAAATACCTAAAAGTCTAGTGGTGCCTAGTGAGGGCGTCTTCGATATTCTTGTGCGATTCATGCGGGCGGATAACGCCACGTTGCCGCTGCTAGTTGAATGCCTGCAAGTTTGCACCGCATTGATACCTGTGTTTCCTAAAGAAATACACATGAGGTATGAAATTGAGATGTTTAATAATTGTTTTTTAAATCAATTACATTATATAGAAGAATGTCTCTGGAAGAGATTTCTTTTTAATAAGATTGTCCATTGTTATTGCTTTGTCTTGCTCATGTTGTATATATATAAAATTCTTGTGTCACATGTTCGTTACAAAACTCCTCAGAAGCGACTTGACCGATTCTTATGAATTTTTGTGTTTATTGAACAATTTTTTAAATTGTTTGTCCAATTATCCCTACTTTTTAATAGCCAATTTAGTACTTTTATAAATATACCTTTATGGGAAAATTATTATATTGGGATCTATACAAACAAAAATATCAATTAAATGTTTTTTTGCAGGCTTATAAATACTGGGCTACTGCCACGGGTACTAAACCAAAAACTATCCCATGTTGAGTATGCAAGTGGGGCTTCGTTTGATACGGCGGCTGTGGGGTCTTTCTTAATTACAATAGAACAGCCTACTGGCTCATATAAATTCTTGGGAGCTTACATTGATTTGCTATGCGCTTTCCACAAGGTTTGTCTTATTTATGGTTACATATGTTTGAAACAGTTCATTGAACATATTTAAATGCATTTACCTATAGTAGAACATACGTGTAAATTGAAGCAATTTACACTTTCTTTCATGTTGCTCACTTAGTTCACTTAGTACGCGGTAGTTTAAAAAAATAAGTATAGCTATTCAAAAGTGCTTAAATTTAAATATATTTGAATAAAGAATTTTCTATTCTGTTCTATTTGTATAGGTGTCTAACGACGAGCGAATAACGACTGAAATAATTCTGCCCGGCCTGATACTGACTTTGCGTGAAGTGTTCCCCAACGTGTGCGGATGGCGCTATAAAGACACTGACGAACGACGCCACTTATTGAAACGTTGCGCCAATTTCCTCGGCCTCGTGTTGCAACATTCCAAAGAGACGAATAATAGCATAGATCTACTGAAACGCACTGGTGTATACAGCCTGTTGTACACAGAGAATGCATTGGAATTGTTAAAGATCATATCTGTTGGTAAGCATTAGTAATAATAATTTATTAGCCAATTTGATGTGGAGAGATGACTGGAAATTATCAGGTTGATATCAACAAATATCCCCAAATATCGTTTAGATAAAGTTAATAGGTTTTTTATATACTGCAAGATCATATAGATTATTTCAACATTATTTTATTTTAAGGATTGATTAAAAAAATAACAGAAAAATAAACCAGTTAAAGTTTTTATCAGTTCTTCTCAACTGAAGTAGCTAGCTGCACTGGATGATAGGGATACTGATAAAAATTACTGCTATAATTATTAAGAAAGCATACCGTGGTGGTATTCATTCATTCATAATTTAAGAGCTATGCTATTGTCGGTGGACCTCTTGCCACTTTCCGCGATCTTCCATCATGCTCTTTAATTCTTGATAAGACACGACTCCCATTTTGTCCTCAATTTGTTTGATGTAGCTATTCCTTGGTCTTCACCTCCCCCTCTTTCCTTCTATTTTCCCCTCAATAATAATTTTCATGAAATCATCGTGCCGTATCAAGTGCCCTAACATTTTTCCTCGTCTATTTTCTATGGTGTTCAATATTTGTCTATTGGTGGTGGTATTATCACATCATTTTACTCTTATTTTTTTTTCTATTTTAGGTAACGACCAATTGGAGAGAATGATGCAAGATGAAACAAATTGGACATCCGGTACAGGATCTCACTATTTGTCGACACTACAGAGATGTGTCGCTATAGTAATGTTCACACTACGCTTAAAATCTCTAGTTGTCCCAACTGACAGCCAGAATATGACACCTTTAGAACATTTGATATTTGCACAAAATAAACAAAAAGACTCATTGAAAGTGGTGCCCAAAGTGACTAGTTATATAAATCATGCGTTCAATAAGAATTTACCAGTATTGTGCTGCCGATTGCTGAAGAAGTTTGCAGGTGTAAGTATTAAATAAGAATAAGGATGAAATACAGTATCAGTTGTATATCATTATCATTGTAATGTACAGTTCACAATAAAATTTTAAACCAATCCTATTGATACTTCAATTAAAATTAATTGGATTGGTTATGTACATATTTTGTATACACTTATGCACGTCATATTTATTATCTGTAGCTACTTAACCCAAATAAAACAATTTTTTTTTTCAGAGTTTCCAAATGTCTTTATTCTCATCATTGGACATGACTGCATACCAAGTACGCGTCATGTTTTTAAATAGATTGCGTGATGAATACGAAACGATGGATTTGAAAGTGTCTATCTTAGAGTTTATTGCTACCTGTGTGGGCAAACAGCCTGGACTAACAGAGGCATTCTTCATGATGAATTACGAAAAAGCAAAGGCTGACGAAAAGAATAAGGATGAAATTAAATCAAAAACTAAATCTGAGCCTGATGACAGCTTTGAGGGTATTTTAGGTTACATGGCCGACTATCTGAGCACTGTAAAATCTGTGAGTATAGATAAAATATCATTGGAATTCTATAGAGATCAATTTTGGGTCCTTTTCTAAGTTTGACTGTATTTGTTTTCAGGATGCTAAACTATTACATAGCCCTTTGTTGGCATCTATTATGGAACTATTCCATGAGTTGTGGAAAAATAATATGCAAATTTTAGTAAAGAAACTACGTGAAAACCCTAACTTTTGGGAACATATAACCAGCCCTCTTTTTAATGAAATTCAACCTAACTTGAGAACTTACGCTCAAATATTCAATGTCCTCGGTATAGAAATATTTACATCCAGAGACAAATTGGAACCTAATTTAAAAGAGACTTTAGAACTATTTTTTGATACTAATAAAAAACACCTAGATACATGGATAGATTACATTTTTTCCTTCAAAGGTAGGACCGATACAGACGAAGTAGTGGACAAAGTTCCAGTTTGGTTGGGGTTGTTGACTTCGTGGAAGGATTTCACTACTATATTTAGCAAATGCTTACGCGATGTGATAACTCTAAATATAGCACATAAAGCCAAAATGGTAGCCCCTTGTATGAACGCTTTATTGACGGAATTGGAGGATATGAAAGACAGTCGACTAGTTGTTATACTCGCCGAACTATATGTTATAATGTTGGCCAATTGGAAAGACGACTGCTTTGATAATAGAAAAACTAGCGCGAAACAAATTGATAGCCTTCTAACTAACTCAGCTATTATGTATGAATGTTTGCACCCCAGAGCTGTCCGCGCTATACTTTCTATTGGGACAGTAGCTATAAGCAGTTTAGATTACGAAATAAAAGCAAGCAGTATAACAGCACAAAGCATAATACGATCTGTTACTAATATAAACACTATCGAACTTGAAAATCTATTTGATGATATAAATGAACCAAAACCTGATCCCAATGTAAATGGATCTCAAGCTAATGGAAATATTCCACCTGTGGTGCTATCTCTAGCTATGTTGGAACAGTGTTTAGATTTATATGATGATATGTTTTCGGGATTATCACAGTGGTTTCAATCGAGCAGATTTGTCAACAAATTACTATGCTGTTTGCAAAAGTGTTTGCAGAACCGTCGACATTATCACACTTCATTGTCAGCTCTGCGATGCTTGACTGCTTACTCTAGAGGACCGTTTTCTAAAGACTTACTCATGAGCGATGTGGATCAGTTTCTTTGGCTGCAGTTACTGCCGCCAAAGTTCGACAATAATGGTGGTCCACTAGCGTGGAAGCCACATGAGTGGTGGCGGGTATACGCCTACAGTTTAGACTTCATATCGATGATGGTGATGAAGCACGGTCAGTTCTTCGTCAGCGACGCCATTACATTCGTTGGTGTGCACCTAGAACATCTAATAGAGGCAATATTGCTGCCTCGTCAAGTTTTCAGCATAGAAGCATTAAATCTTTGTGCGTCTGTTTTGAATCTCATAGTACAACTAGTGAAATATGAATCCAGATGGCGGATACAGAATATAAACTCATTAGTTGGAATAATGGTATGATATATATTAAATTCTGTTGATACCAAACTTTATTTCTACATATGAATTAGAATGTAATGAACTATTTATATTTTACAGCGCAGTATTAGTGCCTGTTTTTATCAATGTGTGACACTAATGCTTCGATCGCGTCGTTCGTCTGATCCTACTTTACAAACGAACGAGGAATCTTTTGGCCAAGCGCCTTCACTATTGCACAGGTCAGTACAAATTTTTATATGCTTATGACGTAGCTATTAATTGATCGAAAAAATACATAAAAACGAATATATAACTTATGAAATTGAAGACAGTTTACTTTTTGTAAACTATTTTACTTTTAGTTCTGTCTATACATTGTTATTTGACTTCAATAACAACAAAAGTAAATATAACATTAAAACATTATTTGCTAACTATCCTACTTCAAGAAAAATAATTACAACTTATGTAATGTAATATACAATCAAATAAACATTTCAATTATGAAAATATTTGTTTTTGTTACATGATATCTAATATTTTGTTACAACACAACCTACTATTTATCTGTAACTAATAGACTAATATTTTCACTTCTAGAACCCTGGAAGTATTGCATATGTCGACCCTGTGCCTGCTAGCATTCAGTCCGGATCTCCTCTCCTTGCTAGCGGATCCAGGCTTGGATTTGGAGCATTGGCAGCCCCTAGTAGAGCTACATTTTGGCGCACCAAAGATAACCTACGAACCATTCCCCCAGTTGACTTTCGGAACATTATTATCGGCAATATGTTTGCTAACTAGATCATTGTACCATGTAAGTATAATAATACAGATTACTATATGTAAGTTCATACTTCTTTAAAAGAAATCATATTCCTATGCAAAAAACCAATTTCTAGTCTATAGAACACATTGTGTACGTAAAATGTATAATAAAGAAAAGATAACTGAAACAAATTACAACATTGTGCTTTTAATGTAAGGACTAAATGCAAAAGTGACTAAATAATCAAATTGTAAATTATGTAGGAAAAGCCCATATAGTTTACCTCCACATCACGACCAATATCGCCGCTACGTACATATTGCTATACTTGTATTTAGTTTCAATATCTGAAATTATAAATCAACTTGTAACAAATGTCATGTCCTTGTTGCAGTCATACCAATGCGAGGAGGGTAGCGGTTGGCGGTCTCCGCGTGGTCGAAGGCGTACCAGTGGTGGTGGAGGCGGTAGTGGTGGCAGCGGCGGGGTTGGGGGCAGCCCAGAAGCGCGGCGGGGGGGACGCAGCGAGTCACTGACGAGTGTGAGCTCCGCCACCAGTGTGCACGCGTTGCCTGGCCTCGACGAACGTCTCGTGGGTGCTGCATTAGCCGCCGCCGCTGCACTTCTCGCCTCGCAGGTACAAGAGATTCTATAAACTTATACACTATTATGTGCTGGTGTTACTACTTTCTCTGTCATATAATTTAAACAAAATGTAGTATTCTAATTTAACATATTTTCTTGTTAGTCAGTTTCCTAAATGATAAAGCTGTTTTGATATAATGAGAATAATGTAATAAATTGTATATATTTTTACACAGGCTTTGCTTGCGGTGCGCGATCCGAATGTGCCTTCCCGGCATAAACAGCTTGTGCGGCGTGAACTCGGCTCTGAACTAGCTCCTTTCCACGATTTCGTACGTAAGCGCATACTATTTGCTGCTCACGGATGCCCCTACTTGGTAAGAAATAAACTGGACGCTTGGCCTCTACGGCCGGACGAGGAAGAAATTAAAAGAATAGAAGATGTGAGGAAAGAACGAAACATTTCCAGAGACGACGACGATAGACCTCCACCACCGCCGCCGAAACGCGTGAGCAGTGATTCCATGCGAGAATACATTCTACGGAAACATTACTTGGATAAGTGTGCACAAACACCGATCAAAGGACCACATTCCCCCGTCTCCCATTCCACGCCAACTTCAGATAAGAAGAAAGAAACATCGAGAAGCTCAAAGCGTGTGTCGTGGGCGGAGACCACCAGGGAAAATGACGAGAGTTTGGACTCCTCATTGCAGGACATTGAGCCGGTATATTCGAATTTAACCGACGTACAAATAAATAATGATGAAGATTATTTTCACCTCATGTCTGTTGTGTTCCTTTATATTTGTCAATCTGAATTGTAATTTGTAATTTAAGTATTAATAAATATTTTCTACAGAAACAATATTTTTATTTTATTGCTTAATATTTAGAGGGCGTCACTTTTTTGGTAAAATATTAGCTCAATTTTTAACAAAGTACGACATGCCTTCACATGACTGACTGCGCCGTTACCCCAGAGACAATTGTCGTTAATTAACTATGTCGGGATAGTATAATTATGTAATATTATGTTATCTGTGGTATAATTTAAGTTGACTTCTTGTTAAGAATGGGATTGTTAGTAATGATGTTATCTGTGGTAATGGGAACTAGTGGCATCATTACGTCACGCCATCCTTATGATAAAACAATACCGTTAATTACTGGTGAATTTGGCACAGTAGGCTAGCCGATTTGACGTCATGGTCATCCTATTTTCCTTCATGTGAGAAGAATAGAGAGATTAAAATAGAAAATTACATAATCGGCACAGCGGGACACATTTAGTAATCTATTTAAAATAAGATGGTCTGTAAGTAATGATGATGCATTCAAATAGCATTGCCGCATCCTAAGTATTTCTAAAAGTGACCCGTGAATAATGAAAGTATTGGCGTAATGGCTCCAATGCTTTATACGTGTTAAATTTTCCAACATATGAAATCTACGTCACGCCAGCTGGAATTAAGCAATTTGCAAAATTGGAAAGTCATCTTATTCTTAGTTCTTTACAATACACTGCAGAATATAGGTATATACCAAGTTAATTTTGTTATATATCGCAGTAAAAAATGGGTATTTTTGTGCTTCATTTGTTCCACCATAGATAGAGTAATGAAGAAATAAACATACTTGCTCTATGATGTGTTAAAGTTCTATTTTTTTTAATAGGTGAAATAAATAAAATAACATGGCAACATTTTTAACATGGCCGCATGTTGAACTGTACGATTTTCTTTACTGTTTGCCAAAATAAAACAACACTGGCGTGATTTTAAGTGGATTTATGTTGAACGCATAGCTTGAAAAATATTTATTAGGTGACGCAAGTTATTGGTAAGGAAATATATGTGAAAATTGCAATTTCTCTTTAATAGCCGAATAGGATTGCTGTGTTTATTTTTTCGGCCATCGAGACAATTTATAGTTTTGTTTGTGATTGTTATTCGGACAGTAATTGGTGAAGATGATGCATCACCCGAACATGCATCATCCGCCGATGTCGGGGCATCCGCCGCAGCACATGCCTGGTCATCAAGCTATGCCTGCACATCATCAGATGCCGCCTCATCAGGTCCACAGAGAGAGCAGGCACGTAACAATAACTAGGTAGTGTAACGTTCATTATTTTTATTGCTTATTATTTTATATTTCTGCAGTCTTAATTCATATATATTACATGTATATTTAGTTAGTCTGTTGATAAAAATCCATGCTTTATATTAGGTAATATATTTTTGGAAAGTCTAATAAATTTTATTCTTACATTGTAACCTATCTTGATGATCTGTGACAACATTGGTCAAATATGCTATAGCTTTGTTTGCTATATTAATAAAACAGAATATTGAATTCTTTATTTTAATAAACTTAAATTTAATACATCCTTTTATATAGAAAATAGCTTATTTTGAAATTACTACCAAAAGGATAAATTACTGTATATTATATATTTTGTTAATAGAGTTATTTAACAAAATATTTTACTTAAACTAAACTTCTTTGATTTTTGGAGCTTCTGCTGGCTATCATTATTAAGAAAGCTTACTTATATGGTAGTTCCACAATAATTTGCCAGTTATGTTAATCCAGCTTATTTTTTATAAAAAAAAAGCTGTATAAAAATACTTATATATTTATTATTTTCTAATGATCATTTAGTTCATTTGTTTGGTATCATTAGTATCATTATAATTTCAAATAGATTGAACATACAATAAATCATCACTTAATGACATCTAACAAAGCAAATATTGTAGATAATAGAACATGTATACATATAGAAAGAACATAATCACATTGTTTAATCTTCAAATTAGTTGATATCATCGAATCACAATAAAGTCATGTACAGCACACATAGCAACCTCTTTAGTCCTTATATTTCAATGAAATGGAATATAAATTATGATTAAAATAAATTTAGATAAATTCCGAATAAGTACTAATAATATAAATAATAATGCCGCTGTTGTAATTTAATTGTGAATGTGAAATTTTACAGTAATTGTGTCTAAATACTATAAACCTGGTTATTTTCTAATTACTTCTTTGAAAAGAATTATCATTTGGGTTTCACTAGCATTAAGTTATTTTTGTATGAAAAGTATGAACAATAACCTCTAATAATGTATTGTTTAACATGGGTAATATTTGAACATGCTTCCAGTAAAGTATATCATATAATTTATATTATTATTTAGACACCAATATCCATATTTTAAGTACTAAAATAAATATTAAATTTCTTCACACATTGAATGTGGATGGTTAAACTATGGGAATGTAGTATTAATTTGTAAAACTGTGTTTTATATCAGTAATTGATATTACATAGCCACTCTGTGTCAATATTTGTGAAACCAATATTTAGCCCTGAGTATCTATCTTATTTTATATGACAAGTTCATATCTTTAAACAGAAATGATTAATTGATTAGTGCATTATTATTATTTGTACAAGTAATTATCGTATAACACACAGTCATAGTGTAGCCATATGTTATAGTACATCACAAAGGGGCCCTTTAAATCTACACCTAGGTCACATTTCCCGGGAAATGCTTGAAGTTTCATCTCTGTCACATGATTTGTGTGTTGTCTGTCTTTGTCTGAATAAACTATAATATTTATAAATACAAAAGAAGTTTTCACTGTTAAAGAACCTATAAACATCTAGATCTAATTTTCTTATAATATCCCTGTTTTTATGATATTTTTCTTACAGATATAAATAAAAAGTCAATACTATAAAACTATGAGGTTATATGATATTTTATTTCACAGCAGTACAGTATTAATTTGAATGACCACTGAACATTGATACTATTTAATAAAATTACTTTATGTACAATTCAGTACTATACCCATTGATATGCTAATTCTGTGTAATTTGTTGATAAGTCGAGGGTCTTTTGCGGCACTCTTTGTTATTTGAACTGGTTATGAATGCCGCACATAAAGGAACATATGACGATGTTTCTATTCAACAATGTAGACGCGCCAATGAATGCAAAGTCTCGCACTTTCTTCAGACCTGTATGCAATTCCATTAAGTGGACTGGAAGATTGCAGTTGAAACAACATTCTCTTAGTGTTCACATAACTGTTTTTGGTGTTAACCTATTATAAGTTTTGGATGTTTTAGATGAGTGTGGTATTTTGTGTCAATGTGTATGAGTGAATCTGTATGCGAAGGGTGTCCCTGGGTCCGACACAAGCGGGGGGCGGCATGGGCGCACACGGGCACGGGCACGGGCACGGGCAGGCCCTGGGCGGCATGGGAGCGATGGCCGTGCCACCGCCGCACCATGCCCAGCAGCGCCCGCCGCACGCCATCCGCGCTATGCCACATCATCCGCCAGCGCAACACCATTCAGTGCCACCGGTAAGCCTACTATTGTTATATATGTATGTTATTTGCACACCAAACTGTTAATGCTAAGCAGAATCTTTTAGTGTACACATTTATATTTAATGTATGATTATGGTATGGTGCACGCGCCTGCACTAACGGATTACGCTGGCGGGGCTCTAGTGGAGGATTATAGTATGACCATGAGGTTAGGTCAGTTAGCCCATAGTGACAAATTCACTAGGAATTTATGAAAATGTTTTCCAGGGGAAACTGTGTGGACTACATGTGGTCGTACATAGTGGTCGACATGACATTGTACATACTAGTTATGGGTCCATCAATCCACATTACTAATAGTCGCCTTCCCCCTGGCAGAAAGTATCGATTGCTGTTGGCTTTAAATAATATTTATCTAATAATAATTGAATTCATTATCTGCTACTTTTCACACGGTTCCCTTAAAAACCATCTTTAAAACTTATGTTAATTTATGCAGTAATATTTTATAACTAATTAGGTAGTGGAATTTAAAGAACTCACTATATTTTCATCTTTCACGGAAATCTTCGTCCGGGTGAACACGGCAACGTGTTCGGCAACAATTTTTTCCGTGTATAATTATAAAATATTAATTTTTGGCAAGTTCATCGCGAAGTGCTAACTCTGACTTCATGTTCATCTTATATTCCTTCACTGGTGCCCCGACGGCGTATACTGGAGCAATTACATTATTATCCAATATAAAATGTGCAGCAACCGATGAAGAGCTTGCGGCGGCCGTACCCGGTGACGGGCGGGTACGGGCCGGCGAGCGGGCCGGGCGTGGTGCCGCTGTACCAGCCGGCGCACCCGCCGCCCGCCGCGCCGCAGCCCGCGCCCGCCGCCATGCCGCCCGCCGCCACTCTGCCGCACACAGGTTCGTTGATTACGACCCGCACTCTTACCGGTGGAGCTTGCCACTTTTCGCCATATTCCATCGTTCTCTTTTAATGTTGTATTAACATTAAAGGAACACGAAGGCGACGTGTCGTAAGTCGTAACACGACTCCGACTTTTCCTTAGTCTGCTCGATATAACTACGTCTCGGTCTTCCCTTTCTCTCTCATATGTTTCCTTAGATTATAATGTTTATATATTCATTGTACTGTATTAGTGTCATCCATCACTGGTATTTATTTCCTTTAAAAATCTTGATTTCTTACTTTACTTAGTTTACTAGCTAATTTATCCTTTATTCTACAACCATTCCATTCTAAGACTCAAGTTTTACACAGGTTCGCAAAAGCCTATACATTTAAAGGAAGACTGACTAAACAGGCATTTTTTAGGGTCCATGGGTTAGGCGCCTCCAAAGCTGATTGCTGAGGCAATGGAATTAACCCTAAGGTCTCCACCTAAATCCACCGCTTTTTTAAAGTATTAAAAATCGTTCTAAAGCTATCAAGTATCTAGTGTATGTGGGAATTTATCCACTAAAAACACAGTGTACCTCGTAACAGGGATGACAAGCACTGGCTACTTGGTTTGTCATTTATTTCATACTTTACATAATTAGCTGCTTCTCTCTGTTTCCGTAATGATATAGATATATTTAACTTTAAGCTAAATTTTAAAATGCATTATAAAGGAGTTTAAATACGTTTTAATGAAAATTCAAGTAAAATTAAAAAAAAAAGATTCAGAATTCACATAATAATCTATTAAAATAATTTAAAAAATATTACTGTAACTTGCAGTAATTACAAGAGAATGGCTATAATTCGGACAGACTAAAAATGGTTCTAATAATACTTATTATATTTATGGGTTCCATACATCATTTATTAATTAAAGTGTACTTTTCTCGAATCATTAGGTCTGCGCAAACCTCCACCGCCTGTTTTAACATCGAAGCCTAAGCTAAACTCTAAATTTGGTCAGTTGTACTATCATTTCATAGTTGTTGCTAATTATTTTGTATTTATATTTTATTTGCTGTTTTTCATTCATGCGTTTCTGTTTCATTTAAAGACCTACCAAATTTAAGCATCCAGGTTTTTTTAATTTTATTTTATTTTACATTAGTTACCTTCTTTATGCTTAGATTTTTAGCAGTTAATCATAACTAAGTTTTACTAATTAACTAATATGATGCTTTGTGTTGTAACTTGTAATGGAGAGAGAGTATATAAATGTATCCCGTCATTTTCATTCCCCAATATATTGTAAGATCCCAATAAAATGGCATGGTATAGAATCTTTAGATCTTTTATGCCAAGCCAATTAGCATTGACGAAGTATCAATATGATGAATGAGCTGTTTTTTCGAACTACTCAAATGATGGAAGCAGGATTCATCACAAGAAATCGAGTCCTACATAGCGCATACGATTTTAGTCTTAAATTTTTAGGTTCTAAATTCATGTTCGGACAGGACGGCTATACATTTCTTTGAGGACTGTAATGTATATATATATATAATGGCGTGTGTAGGAACATCAGCGAGTAGTACAAAGCCGGCGAGTAGTAATACAAGTACAGGAGCGGAAGCGGTAGCGAGCGCGAGCGCGGGAGAGGCAGCGGCGGCGGTGGCGGTGGCGGTGGCGAGTGCAGACAAGGTCGCCAGCGCGGCGCCGGCCGACGGCGAGGCGGCTCGCCCGGCGCCCGCACAGGCCAACAGTAAAGAGAAGACTCCTATGTGCCTGGTCAACGAACTGGCCAGGTACAATAAGGTATGGAACACACTACATACACACACACACACACACACACACACACACACACACAAGAATAATATCTCAGGACAACTCGCACAGCGCCATGTAGTCCCAAGCTAAGCTTGTTAATTTCAATATTACTTTTTTATAAATACATACAGTTATCCCAATTTTCAACATTTTAAGTAATTGGAAAAATGAAAAGCCGAAATACTGTGTTCAGTTAAGGTTTGCAACCTTCTAATGTCCTTATTCTATGGAATAACTTTCATAATATATACTGAATAAATCATCATCACAGCCCGGAAGACGTTCAATGCTATATAGGCCTCCCCCAAAGATCTCCACGACGATTGGTCCTGCGCATCGAATGCCTTCCAGCGACCTTGACCAGTTCGTCGGTCCACGTAGCTGGAGGCCTTCCCACGCTGCGTCTTCCGGTCCGTGGTCGCCAATCGAGGACTTTATTGCCCCAACGGCCATCTGTCCATCAATTTGACAATATTGCCAATACATGTAATAATGTTTTAGTATTTGTTAAAAAGCGTTTTAATTACAATCATGTACATAATTCCAGATTAAGCACCAATACCGCCTCACATCAGAATCTGGACCTGCTCACAAGAAAGTATTCACAGTAACACTCCGTTTGGGTGATACTGAGGAATACACAGCTGAGGTGAGTGCAATCCGACACTAATTAATAAATGGAATTGCATTGTTCTGAAATACATTATAAATATTTTTTTCTGAGAAAGCATTTAATTTCAAAAAGATTACAGAGTTTTGTTTAGAGAATATCAAACAACAATCAAAACGGTATACTTAAGATATGTTTATTTATTCTAGAGCACACAAAAAGATGATGTTTGATGATATTCTCTACCAGTATGCTGGTGGCCACTCTATTCTCCCGTTGAATTTAAAAATGAATCTATATTTTTGTGAACATGTATGAGCGAATTTGAAAAAAATAAGAGCTGAGTTACTTGGCAGTTCCTAGCTCGGAGTGCTTCCGAGCTGACTGACGGCAGTTTTAACATACTATAAAAGTGTATATAATATCCTTATTCATGTAGGTCTACTGCACGAATGAAGTTATTTTGATTCGATTCGAGTACATAGTCGCAATGAACGAATCAATTATGCATACATGTTTATAGTTTTCGGTCGGTTTTGTTAGGGCTCGTCCATAAAGCGCGCACAGCACGCGGCGGCGACGGCGGCGCTGGCGGGCACCGGGTTCGCGCCCCCGCCGCCCCGCGCCGCGCCCGCGCTCGCCGCCGCGCACCCGCACCACCGCCACTCCGGTCAGTACGCGCACACGCCTCACGCACGCACCTCACGCACGCACGCACATACATAATCTTACCTTTGCATAAACACACATATTCGGTATACACGACCACACGTAGCTTAAAATTTACTGTATATGTAGACAGGTAAGTTCCTGTTTCAAATGAAAGGGAGCTCCGTAACCGTAACCGAATCCGAAATAAAAGTTTCGGATAATATCAGATAGGGGCGGAGCCTTTGAGTCACGTTATGTAACCATTTTATTAGCTATTTGTATTTTACTTTGAAATTCCTTAAAAATATTATATCCTTAACCGAAATTATCCGAAACTAACGGATAATCCGAAATAATTTCATATCCGCATACGTATCCGTATCTGAAATTTCGTATCCATAACATCCCTACTTAAAATATACTATATTATATAATATAAATGCACATACATTGACGCACCCCTCACATATGCACACGCACTCACATATCTAATCTTAAGTTTGCATACATACTCACATTGGGTTTTTGAAGTGCATTCCCAACCTATTTACACTGTCTGTCTGCGCTGATCCCAACAGTCTTTTCAGTTTTGTTTCAAAATACAAAATTGAAAAGATTATAACTCATAATGATGTTTTCAAAAATCTTACGCTATGAATTTTAAAATTAAGATTTTTGCTTTCAAAATAACGTTTGATTGTACAAAGATTGACTACATAGCAGTTTCTATGTCGACTGTTGCATATTCAAATTAACGTGTATTCACTTAGAACAACATTTATTTAAAAGAGCAACTGAAGTTTCTTTCTCTTTTTTAGTGAGACGATGCATTCCTAATGCTATATTCTACTACTAGAATAAAAAAATGCAGTATGTATATATGAACAACCTGCTGATTCCGGGGCAAAGACTCCAACGATCACCGCGGTAGGGGAGGGCGTTGATGATCTATATGTGTGTATGAGCAATGTGTCCGTGGGCAGGTACAGTGATGCCGACGGTGGAGCTGAACGCGCTGGCGATGAAGCTGTGCCAGCCGGCCGTGTACACCAACATCCCGCCCGTGGCGGCGGCGGCGGCGGCGCGGCTGCCCCGCGTGCGCCCGCCCTTCAGGCTGCCCGCGCCCCCGCACGGGCCGCAGCCCATGCCGGGCTTCCTAGGATACCAGGTTACTACCGCTTACTTGTTCAAATATCCCTTTTTATGTGAAAGGAGCGGTAAGTATGCTGACGCCTACCTGATGGCAAGTGGTATAACCGTTGCCTATATATAGTATGCTAGTGCTTTTTGTTCCGATATTGTCAGTATATATAACGTCTACGTTATATATATATATATATATGTACGATTACGCTCGTGTATTAGCATTTTGGAGAATATCATGCCTCACATTTTGTAATTTCACTACCTTATTCAAACAAACTACACATAAGGTGTTCCTAATAATGCAATTTTTTTATGTTTCATACATCAGATGCATTGTTAGAATTAGAGTAATTTATTGCTGCTCTGAAATTACATAAAAAATACATTTAAAGGATACTTAATTAAAGGCGGCTAAAGGATTTGGCTCTGCATACCTAATCTATACCACAAATAACATTCTCATCTTATATCAATCACTTATCAAATAACATTGTTTTATGTCAAACTGCAGGATATTTAACTTCATTGATGTTATTAATAAGCTACAACAATAACGTAAGTTTCATTTACTTAGTTTCTAAATGCCTTTCTAAAACTGTATAAAGTACAGCTATATGTGTTAGTGTTAATAAAGTTGAGTTGGCGATTGTCGTTTAATGGAGTGTGACGTGCGTGTGCAGCGCATGGTGACCCCGGGTCTGGTGTACCGCGTGCGCGTGGTGGTGGGCGGGCGTGCGTGGCTCGGTGAGGGCGGCACGCCGCAGGCAGCACGGCACGACGCCGCTGCACGTGCTCTAAGGGACCTGCGCGTGCAGCCCGCCGCGACCGCCGCCGCCTCCTCCGCCCCCGTCTCCCCCGCAGCCGCCCCCGGCGGGGACGCGCAGCCGCCCGCCGACACGGACGACGGTCAGTACACGTACTAGCGTTGCCGATAGTGCGAAATACCCCTCGTATTTCGGTGACACCGCCGCGCGTACTCTAAGAGATCTGCGCGTGCAGCTCGCTGCTACAGCAGCTGCCAGTACACTATACACTGCAATCTCGATATAACAGAAAGAAGTCGCGTGCGCTGCAAGACCGCCGCGTAGAGGCCGCCGCCGACGCCTACTTAATATTGATGGATTTAAAATTAATGTTTCTTTCTCCAGGGGACGGTACTACAGATTTGCTGAGTTCGGAAGTGAAATCTCCTGTATCGTTAGTACATGAACTGGCACTCAAGCGCAACTTATCCGTGCAGTTCTCCGTGAAATCTGAACGCGGCCCGCCGCATATGAGGGTGAGTTTCATTTCTAGATGTTACTACTGCATCTTGCACATATAACAATAAATATGTATAAAATATAACTGTTAGCTGGACGCCGGTGTACAGGGAACATTTATACAAAACATTGATTGTTAGAATTTTTATCTATATGTTTGAGTGCTTGTGGGCTCTGATTTCAGAAACGGCTTAACCAATTGTTGAATAATATGCAAAATGATTTCACTAAGCATGGTGTATTTATCAGGATATGATCAAGAAATTTTGTAAGTGTAGCGCATATAGGTTAAGCTGGTCAATATTCAACAATCCTCGCCTCATTTTCATGCAGGTGTTTGTGACGGCGTGTACGGTGGGCGAAATCGAGACGGAAGGTGAAGGCAACGGGAAGAAGGTGTCGAAGCGACGCGCGGCTGAACGCATGCTGGACGAGATGCGGCGCCGCTGGCCCGCCGCCATGCTGCGCGCGCGCCCGCCGCAAGACCGCCGCCGGCTGCAGCCCGCCAAGAAGAAGCCCAGGAACCTCATCAAGGTAACACGAGCGCACGCGGCACGAGATGCGGCGCCCCCGGCCCGCCGTGGAGCTACACAACGGAACTACGCCGAAAGTAGTATTGGAAGAGAACGGAATTTTTATTACATATGTTAAAATAATTGTAAACCCGACTCCATCAATTAACGCAGTCAAATGTAAGATGGAAATGCGAGGTTGAGGTCTGATCGTTTAGTTTACATTCACCATGATGTTACTATACTATGATCAGCAATTCCTGACTTAAATATCTGTAAATATATTTAATAATTCACCAGGAATTTATTATGATGGTTTCCATGGGAAACCTTGTAGAAAAGGTTCAGGTTATATGGTATACTGTTAGCAACGGGGTCATCAGAGCACATTAGTAACAATCCACTTCCAAAGGCAGCTACTGTCAACATATTTTGATGATCGTAACAATGTACTAATTACAATTTTGATTATATGTGTTTAAAAATAATAAGTGAAATCGATGTGTTTATACAGGAGGGTGGTGCGGGAGGCGGCGGTAGCGGCGGCGGGGGCGGCGGGGGCGGCGCGGGCGCGAGCGGCGGCGCGGACAACCCTATCTCGCGGCTGGCGGTGGCGCGGCACGCGGTGCGCGCGCGCAGCCCGCAGTACCGCGTGGTGGAGGAGCGCGGCGCGGCGCGGCGCAGGGAGTTCCTCGTGCGCTGTGACGCGCCGCCGCACTCCGCCACCGGCCTCGGGCCCAACAAGAAGACCGCCAAGCGCCGCGCCGCACACAGTCAGTACACGCCCCTCACGGACACCCATCCTACCTACCGCTCTCGTGCGCTCTACCCGCTCCTAGAAGAGCGCCGCCCGCAGTCGCTACACACCCCTCACTCCTAACGTACCGCTATCGTGCAGTCTACCCGATCCTAGAAGAGCGCCACCCGCAGGCGGTACACGCCCCTCACTAATGTACCGGTCTCGTGCAGTCTACACGGTCCTAAAATTACCACTTTCTTATATATACATTTTATGTAACCGTCCTGTATCGTATTTTACTGCTACTTCACTCCCACACTCGGAGCTTTGAGTAAAAGTACGAAGACGTCGCAGGTGTTAGTTTCTTTCTTTTACTTCGGAAATAGATGAAACAAAGTACCCACGCAAATAATTTTGTACAAAGTCTTAACTCAAAAAGACATCAAAAAGTAATTTAGTATACATTAATTTCTTTCAGACGTACTATTAGCAATGGAAAAGACCGGGTTGCTCGATAACAATAATTCAACTGCCGATAACGAGACGGAAACGGGCTCCAACAACACCGCCGATGTCAACAAAAATGGCGATACCAAAAGAAAAGTATGTAATTTTAATTTGGTATTTTATGACCTAATTAAGTATGTGATACCATAATACACAGTGCGTGATGCATCATGTGTCATGTTGTATATAGGAGGGCGAGTCAGGGTCCGGAAGCGGAGGAGCCGGGGGCGAAGTGCGCCAGCCAGTACCGGGCGTCCTGCTCATGGACTACCACCAGCGGTCTGGGCAGCCCGCGCAGCCCAACGGTAAGCACCACCGCATTCTTCACACACTTGTTACTCACTCCACAGTAATTTATTTATTTATTATTGTACAATATGATGTTACATTTTTTCCTTCAAATCCCTAAATAGGAAACAAAACCTGTCCTATAGGATAAGCAGTGCTCATTCCCTACAATATTACAGGGACACATAAAATACAGTAATGGACTACTCTTTTGGATACCTGATATCTTTGAGAGATATATGGTAAACATCTGGTACTCGCGTTTCATTAAATATGTTGTAGTAATATAAACGGTATGACCGTTGTGACTGTATGTTGTGAAGATTGATCCCACAACTATCAGAGGGTTAGTGTTTGTTGGTTAAATTTCTCGCACCAAGAATACAAAACAATTGTATAATTATGCAACTAATACTGATTAATCCTTAGTTCAGTTTATCGACTTAACTGTAAACATACATTATTTCAAGACGTTAGTCTATAGCCTACTCAAGACACGATGACAAAAAAACTACCAGAAAATTTTGTACTTATTTCTAAATCTTTCATTTGTAAGTATGTAAGTAGCCCACAGTTTCACCTGCGTGAAATTGTAGCCTATTTATTAAATTGATATTTATGCTATATTATTTTAAAGTTTCATTTAAATCCAATCAGTAGTTTTTGCTTGAAAGAGTAACAAACATCATCGTTTATATAAAAAGTTGTGCTTACTTATGTTCGTTGATGTACAAATAATATTTAAATGGTCACATCTTATTAGGAGTAAGCGAGACAAGTGCAACAGGTGGCAACGGCGGCAACACTCCGGGCGCGAAGGACCAACTAATGTACCTTTCGGAACTGCTCGGATTCACGGTTCAATTTTCCGATTTCCCCAAAGTGAGTTTTCCAAACTTGTTGAAATTCAATCTCAAAACCATCTGTTTTGAAAAAAATGTTTTTAATAGCAATTTAATATATATGATTTAACTGATAACTAACTACAAATCTTACCACACGTTATATATCGTGTTATGAAGTAAGGGCTAACTGTTACAGCGGAACCACGGCGAGTACCTGTCACTGGTGTCGTTGTCGACGGAGCCGCCCGTGATGTGCCACGGGGGCGGGCCCTCCACGCAGCACTCGCACGAGCAGTGCTCGCGGGCGGCGCTGCGGGCGCTCGCACTCATGGGGCTCGACGCGCCGCAGGCGGGGTGCGGGCGCTCGCACTCATGGGGCTCGACGCGCCGCAGGCGGGGTCAGTACACACTACAACTATAACTCGCACGAGCAGTGCTCGCGGGCGGCGCTGCGGGCGCTCGCACTCATGGGGCTCGACGCGCCGCAGGCGGGGTCAGTACACACTACAACTATAACTCGCACGAGCAGTGCTCGCGGGCGGCGCTGCGGGCGCTCGCACTCATGGGGCTCGACGCGCCGCAGGCGGGGTCAGTACACACTACAACTATAACTCGCACGAGCAGTGCTCGCGGGCGGCGCTGCGGGCGCTCGCACTCATGGGGCTCGACGCGCCGCAGGCGGGGTCAGTACACACTACAACTATAACTCGCACGAGCAGTGCTCGCGGGCGGCGCTGCGGGCGCTCGCACTCATGAAGAGCGCACGCGCCGCAGGCGGCGCTGCGGGCGCTCGCACTCATGGTCAGTACACACTACAACTATAACTCGCACGAGCAGTGCTCGCGGGCGGCGCTGCGGGCGCTCGCACTCATGGGGCTCGACGCGCCGCAGGCGGGGTCAGTACACACTACAACTATAACTCGCACGAGCAGTGCTCGCGGCATGGAGGAACAAGGTATACCCAGTTCAAACCAGCAGTGAAAATGACATCTGCGTCCTCCGTGGTCATCCCATATCAGCTTCAGCCGCCAAGCAACCTGGTAATAAGCTGTGGAGAGTGAGATTAGGCAGTGAAATTAGAATGTAAAGAGATGTAACATCTGTGTCCGACCGTGTGTGATTCGTGGTATACCATCAGGTAAACATTTAAAAAAAAATTAATATGTAATTTTTTTTAGTTTCAGTAATTGAATTTACCTGTTTTTTTTTATCTTGTAATTTATATATGGTACATTATATCTTAGATATTATGAATATAGGTAATATTCATAATATCTAAGATCTAATATACCATTTACCTTAAGGTGGAGGCTTGTTTGCTATCCTAATAAATGTACAAATCTTGTATAATCTGCAGTAACTGACAATTTTTTTAAAAGATTTTTTTATTACAATTTATTTGTTTAATATCTATTTATAAATTAATTTTCATATACAGAATGGCGACCATGGGTGGTACTCCGGCCGCGAAGCCAGCTGTCATCAGCAACGGTATCGCCGACTAGGAGCGGCCCACGCTCCGCCAAGTATCAACAAGCGTCATTACCCTCCAATCCTTGTTACTCGGTCCAAATGCAATATCACTCACGTCGTGTATATTTCAATGCGCGAAATATCTAGTTCGGGACGACTTCATTTCCTTTTAAATGTTGTTATTCTATTTTATTCTATTAGACATATTATATCTATCTACGACATATTTACAACACAATTTGATCTCGGGTCTTGCAACACTAGAAGTTTTTTTTTCTTTTATTCTAAACGTTTCCTATTGAGAATAACGTTTATGTATATAGTTTGTTATTGCGTTCTGTTCCGGGAGAATATTTTAGTTGCTCTCAAACTTTTTAATTTTTATATCAGAAAACGTGGTTCACAAAGTAGGTGTATTTTTAGTACTCAACACATATTTACGACTCTAAACTTTTATCTTAAAATTTATAATTACAGGTTAATACATGTCAGTTATACCTGTCTCTTGTTTTTTAGAACATTATCAATGTGAATGTTATTTTTTATGACGACGGCGAGATTGTGTACCTGGCTATATTTATAAAATGTAGCCGACTTATGTTATTAACTTATTAGATAGTTATTGGACATGAATTGTCAGTAAAAATATGTAGTATCGATTAAATATACGAAACTGAGGCTGTGAAGCCAAACCAAAACAGTTTCATTGGGACATGGCAGCGCATCACCGATTTATTTAAGAGGCGTTTTTCGCCCGCAACTAATTTAGACTTCTATACATTTTATATAGCTTAATATGAAATTTAAATTCTCTTCTATGAAGTGATATTTCGAAACGACAGATTATAAATCATTCGGTGCCTAGCTGCCGTCCCGACGAACGCTAAAGTTGCATCATGCGGCCATGGTGTCACCTTAGTTTAGCTAATAGGTAATCGCCATAGTCCTTGACGCTGTACTGTAGCTCCAAACTGGGAACAGAAGCGCAGTGACCGCTGCGTTTTGCACTCGGGGAGTACGGCGATTATAAGATTGTGGCCTCGATTTTTAACTGACGACTAAGTGAGTGATGTATTTCTCCGACCCTAAGCTCTGAAATGTGTAATTCTAGATATAAGTTAAAGCGAAAAAATTGCGACACGAAATGAAATAGCGATGGATTCTTATCAACTTAGGCTAAGATTGATAATTGCTTGTTATTTTTTAGGCTCAGTATATATTTTTATCTAATGCATGTTCCCATAATGTTTAGGTTAGTGAATGACTAACATAACAGTCTTTCTAGATGTAACTGTAAGCGATACGATGGATCGGTGACTATTTATATTATGTAAAATGTAATGCCCGAATGGCCGACGGCCGCCTCGATCACTGTGTGATCTGCCCCTTGTTGATTGTACGTTTCATTGTTATGGGTCTCTTATTAATAAGGCTTATAACTAGACACGATGCTTTTAACATCATGAAATTAATGACTGTATTTTATTTTTATCAAAATTGTTTGTCTATGTCTAAACTGTATGGAAATCACGCGTTTAGGAATTGCTTTGATTCTACGTGTTTTAAGGACTTACTACGGCTGAGTAATGTACGTAGTTCGTGAATCAAGCTTCTAGAATACGACTAGTTTGTGTTTCAGTGTGCGTATTGAGGTATATGGACGCATAATTGAACTTTCTAACACTAACTAATCAATATTCGCCGATGCTGAGGCATCGTGTCTGTTATAGCCTTACCTTGTGTTATATGCGGTAGCTATGTCTATATCGCGACCGTTTATCAAGTCGAGTCGAATACATTTATACTGATAAAATGTACTCGTAACCACTTGTAAACCATACTGTTTGAAGTATAGCGTCGATCTATTCATAAGTTCTTTGTTGATGTAAACGATATTAAATCGAGGCCATTGATAATTTCTTCATGTTGAAAGTTACGCAAGTAACTAAGCATAAAGAAATTGAATAATTATTGAAAACGCCCAAACGGGCGTTCAAGAAGTGTTTTATTTATTTTGTTCTAAGTAACTAATATTTTATATGATGTGGATGGAGTAAGTCCCTACTTCAAATTCGTGCTTCTAGCGATCTATTATAAGAATAAAGTTAAATATTTGAATCATTGTTTCATTTATAACCTAAATTTACTGAATTCGCATGTTTTTCGCAGTCTTATTTAATATATTGGGCTTAGTTTTATGTTTATGAGATTAAATCTGTTGTGTGTAACCCTTAAAGATGGCGATTTTGATAAAAACCTTGGTCACTTCTCAATTTCACTACTATTTTGAATTTCTTCTCGTCTCTATTAGAGCGGTTAAGAACCATTAATACACTAAAATAGCCATATAGTGAGCACTGCACAAAAAACTTATTTTAATATAATTTTCTGAACTAAAACTGAAATTGATTAAAGTGGTAAAGGCATATTTTTATCAATAAGATATAATTTAAAGAGCTGTAAGCGCAGTACATATACACTTTGTACAACGCTATATATTAAGCAATAGACTACCAATTAAAATAGATATCGTAAATAAGAATAAATATAAACTTTAAAATTACAGCTCTTAAGATCCATTCTTACCATAAGACCGAGAGAAAATGATTGACAAAATAAGGAGAGGTAATTGACTATTATCATCATAAACGGGATACATATTTTTCATTTTTCTAGTCGTATATATTATAGGAATCCTATATAATAGACAAATTTTGTAATTTGACAGACAAACATTTTTGTATGTAGACGAAACTGTTAATTAACTTCGGTGATGTTCCCAAACGCGTGTGTCGTCAGATGGTCGATTTGATTCAGTGTATACTGAGTATATAATTTGATATTTATTTATTTAGCATCCTTCGCCCCAGAATACTTTTTATATCGACCATAATATTATGTGCTTTATATTCTTATTCGATTGGTTATTATTAACAAGTAAACAATATAGAAATAAAAACAAGGTTTTATTAATAAAAAAAATAGCAATGCGTAACAATTATCACCAGTCTTAGCAAGACCCAGAGGTAATCAACAGACTGTGCTTGTGGGTATATTTACATAATACTATTTGCATTAATCTCTTATTCATTAATACTATTATCGGATTTATTATTATGGCAGGTTCACTTCACGAATTTCAGTCCCAGCGCTTGCGTCATGGCACAGAATGTCTGTGTGCTCGTCGATCTGTGAAAATACAATTTTAAGTCATTACAATAATTTTATTTACTATTATTGAATAAGCATTATTCACTGGTGATATAATCGTAAACTAAAAGCGATTGGATTTGTGGTGAATAGAAACTTGACAACTGTAGTTAATTATATTATGTGATGTTATATAATGCGGAGTCCCCTTGAGTAATGTTAGTCTTGTTAGTATTATTTGCAATCTAGGTTGTAGTCGTAGTAGCAGTATTCGTCATAGTAACAGCCATTTTGCTATGAATTTTTCACATCTGATATTATTGCTACATCTAATTCGAAATATAAAATTAAAGTGTTAGATGATAGAGCATGAGAATTTAACCCAATCGAGAGCAGTAACATTAGCGCCGGGAATTAAAGTACTTGTAATAGTATCATAGAGAACTACATAAGCAAATTGTAAGCACGAAACAGGCGGAAAAATATGATATAGATAACTATGAAAATACACAACATCACTATTTAAATATATGCAGATGACGTTCATATTTTTTAAATTAGACTAGTTGCTCGCTCCGTTCCGCCTGCGGGTCCATATTATTTAAATAAAATGGACTCTGTTTGACGCGCCGCAGGTATGGGAAAATAAAATTGTTCATTTTACTATTTTCCATGCATTTTCTTCATATATTGTTATATTCTCACCACTTAAATCTTTCATAGACCTACAAATATTTCAAAACAAAATTAACCTAAAGGTCCAGTCGTTGTTAAGTTTAAGCGAGACTAACAATTCTTTTCTCTTTTATATATAAGATAACGTCTCTCTTTGATCAATACCAAATTCCAGATTTATTTAACTACTGCTCAAGAATTCACTGCGATGAGTCTGTCATGTGCGGTAGTAGTGTAAATAACAAATACTCACGATCTTAGCGGTGGGTTTCCCGCCGCCGTGGAGGTGTCGACGCGCGCCAGATTAGCGCTGGCGCGTGTGGCGCGCGGCGTGTAAAGAGATGAACATCTGTGTCCGGCACCGTGTGTGATGGTCGTGTATACCATCGCCGGGTACTCGCCCGGCTTAAAACAACTAAATTAATATCTATTAGCTAATTTTTTTTAGTGAAAATGGTATGAACAGCTAAACGATTACGCTATTATTTAACAAATTTTTTTTTTTTAAATCAATGATATATGTATATTAGCAGCATACTAATTATAATATTCTTACTGTTATAAATATGGGCGATATTATCTTGGTACATTAACATTCAAGTAATAAAATTTGGTATAGTTTTAATTTTCATTTATACAATTTTATAGACTTGTTTACTTACTATCCTTAGTACTTGTAGATTTCGTAATGCAACACGACATTTAGATGGGAAGTGCTACTTTATACTTTTTTAGATAAAAATACCAATATATATAAATTCGTTAATCAACAAAGAATTTATTTCTGTACTAGGAAATTAAACAAATTTATAATCTGGGGAATGTATGTTGTGCAGTGGTGAGTACTTGATGAGGTCGAAGTGCACCTTCTCGTCCGAGCTGCCGTAATCGAAGCCAGCGTGCCCGATCAGAACGGAACCGCAGATGTCCAGAACGCTGCAAACGTTACCTTTGTTTATCAATTTGTAAGCAATATAATAGCTGTGTATTATTTAGGACAAGTATTCATAGTTGTTTGCTAGCTCCAAATGCAATTTATCAGATTCTAATTAACTGATATAAAAAGTAATTTCCCAACGACAAAACATCACGACTATTACCCCAGATGACGCCGTCATTGTCGTTATGTGACAATGTTGTTATCTCTCGGTTATTTTTGTTTGATATTGGTTTTTTTCATATTATATAAATTAAGACTGTTTTTAATATTTGGTGTCAACACAATTTGATCTCGATCTTGTGGTACACAAATATATAAATTGACACAGTTTTTTTTTTTTTATTCTAAACGTTATCTCGACATTTAGGGCGTAATTCAGTTTATGAAACTATATAACCATGATAATCTTTCGCATTAGTGTTCCGAGAATATTTTAGTGCTCACATTTATAATATTAATTACGACATGAAAACAGTGGAATTCACTTTTGCAAAGATGTAGTTGTATATATTTATATCTCAACACATATTTACGACTCTAAACTTTTTCGTGATCTTAAAATTTATAATCACACACATAAAATACAGTTATACTCTGTCTCTTGTTTTTTAGAACATTATCAATGTAAATGTTATTTTTTATGACGACGGCGAGATTGTGTACCTGGCTATATTTATAAAATGTAGCCGACTTATGTTATTAACTTATTAGATAGTTATTGGACATGAATTGTCAGTAAAAATATGTAGTATCGATTAAATATACGAAACTGAGGCTGTGAAGCCAAACCAAAACAGTTTCATTGGGACATGGCAGCGCATCACCGATTTATTTAAGAGGCGTTTTTCGCCCGCAACTAATTTAGACTTCTATACATTTTATATAGCTTAATATGAAATTTAAATTCTCTTCTATGAAGTGATATTTCGAAACGACAGATTATAAATCATTCGGTGCCTAGCTGCCGTCCCGACGAACGCTAAAGTTGCATCATGCGGCCATGGTGTCACCTTAGTTTAGCTAATAGGTAATCGCCATAGTCCTTGACGCTGTACTGTAGCTCCAAACTGGGAACAGAAGCGCAGTGACCGCTGCGTTTTGCACTCGGGGAGTACGGCGATTATAAGATTGTGGCCTCGATTTTTAACTGACGACTAAGTGAGTGATGTATTTCTCCGACCCTAAGCTCTGAAATGTGTAATTCTAGATATACGTTAAAGCGAAAAAATTGCGACACGAAATGAAATAGCGATGGATTCTTATCAACTTAGGCTAAGATTGATAATTGCTTGTTATTTTTTAGGCTCAGTATATATTTTTATCTAATGCATGTTCCCATAATGTTTAGGTTAGTGAATGACTAACATAACAGTCTTTCTAGATGTAACTGTAAGCGATACGATGGATCGGTGACTATTTATAGTATGTAAAAAGTAATGCCCGAATGGCCGACGGCCGCCTCGATCACTGTGTGATCTGCCCCTTGTTGATTGTACGTTTCATTGTTATGGGTCTCTTATTAATAAGGCTTATAACTAGACACGATGCTTTTAACATCATGAAATTAATGACTGTATTTTATTTTTATCAAAATTGTTTGTTATGTCTAAACTGTATGGAAATCACGCGTTTAGGAATTGCTTTGATTCTACGTGTTTTAAAGACTTACTACGGCTGAGTAATGTACGTAGTTCGTGAATCAAGCTTCTAGAATACGACTAGTTTGTGTTTCAGTGTGCGTATTGAGGTATATGGACGCATAATTGAACTTTCTAACACTAACTAATCAATATTCGCCGATGCTGAGGCATCGTGTCTGTTATAGCCTTACCTTGTGTTATATGCGGTAGCTATGTCTATATCGCGACCGTTTATCAAGTCGAGTCGAATACATTTATACTGATAAAATGTACTCGTAACCACTTGTAAACCATACTGTTTGAAGTATAGCGTCGATCTATTCATAAGTTCTTTGTTGATGTAAACGATTTTAAATCGAGGCCATTGATAATTTCTTCATGTTGAAAGTTACGCAAGTAACTAAGCATAAAGAAATTGAATAATTATTGAAAACGCCCAAACGGGCGTTCAAGAAGTGTTTTATTTATTTTGTTCTAACTAATATTTTATATGATGTGGATGGAGTAAGTCCCTACTTCAAATTCGTGCTTCTAGCGATCTATTATAAGAATAAAGTTAAATATTTGAATAATTGTTTCATTTATAACCTAAATTTACTGAATTTGCATGCTTTTCGCAGTCTTATTTAATATATTGGGCTTAGTTTTATGTTTATGAGATTCAAGCTGTTGTGTGTAACCCTTAAAGATGGCGATTTTGATAAAAACCTTGGTCACTTCTCAATTTCACTACTATTTTTAATTTCTTCTTGTCTCTATTAGAGCGGTTAAGAACCATGAATACACTAAAATAGCCATATAGTGAGCACTGCACAAAAAAGTTATTTTAATATAATTTTCTGAACAAAAACTGAAATTGATTAAAGTGGTAAAGGCATATTTTTATCAATAAGATATAATTTAAAGAGCTGTAAGCGCAGTACATATACACTTTGTACAACGCTATATATTAAACAATAGAATACCAATTAAAATAGATATCGTAAATAAGAATAAATATAAACTTTAAAATTACAGCGCTTAAGGTCCATTCTTACCATAAGACCGAGAGGAAATGATTGACAAAATAAGAAGAGGTAATTGACTATTATCATCATAAACGGGATACATATTTTTCATTTTTCTAGTCGTATATATTATAGGGATCCTATATAATAGACAAATTTTGTAATTTGACAGACAAACATTTTTGTATGTAAACCTTTCTGTATGTAGACGAAACTTAATTAACTTCGGTGATGTTCCCAAACGCGTGTGTCGTTAGATGGTCGATTTGATTCAGTGTATACTGAGTATATAATTTGATATTTATTTATTTAGCATCCTTAGCCCCAGAATACTTTTTATATCGACCATAATATTAGGTGCTTTATATTCTTATTCGAATGGTTATTATTAACAAGTAAACAATATAGAAATAAAAACAAGGTTTTATTAATAAAAAAAATAGCAATGCGTAACAATTATCACCAGTCTTAGCAAGACCCAGAGGTAATCAACAGACTGTGCTTGTGGGTATATTTACATAATACTATTTGCATTAATCTCTTATTCATTAATACTATTATCGGATTTATTATTATGGCAGGTTCACTTCACGAATTTCAGTCCCAGCGCTTGCGTCATGAAGCACAGAATGTCTGTGTGCTCGTCGATCTGTGAAAATACAATTTTAAGTCATTAGTAATAATTAAATTGACTATTATTGAATAAGCATTATTCACTGGTGATATAATCGTAAACTACAAGCAATTGGATTTGTGGTGAATAGAAACTTGACAACTGTAGTTAATTATATTATGTGATGTTATATAATGCGGAGTCCCCTTGAGTAATGTTAGTCTTGTTAGTATTATTTGCAATCTAGGTTGTAGTCGTAGTAGCAGTATTCGTCATAGGAATAGCCATTTTGCTATGAATTTTTCACATCTGATATTATTGCTACATCTAATTCGAAATATAAAATTAAAGTGTTAGATGATAGAGCATGAGAATTTAACCCAATCGAGAAGTAGTAACATTAGCGCCGGGAATTAAAGTACTTAGAGAACTACATAAGCATATTGTAAGATTCACGAAACAACGTGTAGAAAAATATGATATAGATAACTATGAAAATACAGTCAACATCATTATTTAAATATATGCAGATGACGTTCATATTTTTTAAATTAGACTAGTTGGCCCCGCGATCTCCGTTCCGCCTAGAAACGGAGTCCATATTATTTAAATAAAATGGACTTTGTTTGACAGGTAAGAACTGTTTGTATGGGAAAACAAAATTTTTCATTTTACTATTTTCCATGCATTTTCTTCATATATTGTTATATTCTCACCACTTAAATCTTTCATAGGCCTACAAATATTTCAAAACAAAATTAACCTAAAGGTCCAGTCGTTGTTAAGTTTAAGCGAGACGTCTCTCTTTGATCAATACCAAATTCCAGATTTATTTAACTACTGCTCAAGAATTCACTGCGATGAGTCTGTCATGTGCGGTAGTAGTGTAAATAACAAATACTCACGATCTTAGCGGTGGGTTTCCCGCCGCCGTGGCCGGCCTTGGTGTCGACGCGCGCCAGCAGGGGCCTGCGCTGGCGCGTGTGGCGCGCGGCGTGCTGCAGCGCGGCGATGAACTTCAGCGAGTGCAGCGGCACCACGCGGTCGTCGTGGTCCGCCGTCAGCACCAACGTCGCCGGGTACTCGCCCGGCTCTGATTGCCAACGACAACTAGATTAATATCTAGTTAGCTAGAACTTTTTGATATAGGGAAATGAAAATGGTATGAACAGCGAATAAACGATTACACTATTATTTAACAAATTAGAGGATACATTTTTTTAAATCAATGATATATGTATATTAGTAGCATACTAATTATAATATTCTTACTGTTATAAATATGGGCGAGTTAGTTATCTTGGTACATTAACATTCAAGTAATAAAATTTGGTATAGTTTTAATTTTCATTTATACAATTTTATAGACTTGTTTACTTACTACCTTAGTACTTGTAGATTTCGTAATGCAGCACGACATTTAGATGGGAAGTGCTACTTTATACTTTAAATTTAGATAAAAATACCAATATATATAAATGATCGTAATAATCAACAAAGAAGCTGTATACTGTTGCCTAATTTCTGTACTAGGAAATTAAACAAATGTTACCATCATCTGGGGAATGTATGTTGTGCAGTGGTGAGTACTTGATGAGGTTGTCGAAGTGCACCTTCTCGTCCGAGCTGCCGTAATCGGAAACCCACGCGTGCCCGATTGTGAACTTCTGGAACCGCAGCATGTCCAGAACGCTGCAAACGTTTATCAATTTGTAAGCAATATAATAGCTGTGTATTATTTAGGACAAGTATTCATAGTTGTTTGCTAGCTTCTGAACGATCAGATTCTAATTAACTGATATAAAAAGTAATCTGCCTCCCAACGACAAAACACCGTCACGACTATTACCCCAGATGACGCCGTCAGAGCCAAAGTTGTCGTTATGTGACAAGGGCGAGCCTACTGCTATCTCTCGGATATTTTTTTTGTTTGATATTGGTGTTTGTTTCATGGTAGCCAGTTATATAAATTAAGACTGTTTTTAATATTTGGTGTCGACCAGATTTGTACTCTGATCTCTTTGTGGTACACAAATATATAAATTGACACAGTTTTTTTTTATTTGGTGTCGGCCAGATTTGTTATCTCGACATTTAGGGCGCAATTCAGGGTATGAAACTACTAAACCATGATAATCTTTCGCATTAGTGCTGAGAAAGTAAGTGCGTCGCATTTATAATATTAATTACGACATGAAGACAGTGGAATTGAAATCTTTTGCAAATCGATGTATTTCGGAGATATATTTAGGTGTAAAAGTTTTCGTGACATCCAAACGTGTCCAAAAATGTTTTATAATCACACACATACAAATACATACTTTACTATCATATACCAATAGATGTGTATGCGTGTGCGTGCGTGCGTGTGCGCCGCTGGGGTCACTCACCCGACCTGCACGATGGCGGCGCCGTAGAGGTCGGGGCGCTGGTTGGCGCAGGCGGCGACCAGCAGGCCGCCGTTGGAGCCGCCCTGTATGGTGAGCAGCGCGGGCCGCGAGTACCGCTCCCGCACCAGGTACTCGGCCGCCGCTTGGAAGTCGTGGAACACATTCTGCTTGTTGAGCAGACGGCCCGCGTTGTGCCACCGCTCGCCGTACTCCCTGCATGCGTCATAATAAACATTAGATAGATAAATTATTATTTGGACTGTCCGATCACATACAACAAAATAATGAAAGCATTTTTATTATAGTATAAAACAAAGTTGCTATCGCTGTCTATCCGCTGAGGTCTTTTGAACTACTCAACGCATTCTAATGCAGTTTTCAGGAATATATAGAGCGATTCAAAAGAAAGATTTATATAATAATAAAACATACATCCGTGTTCAGATGGAACGAAACTAGAACATACATAAAATTGTATATACCTGGATAACTCATAGATTACCATTGTATTACGGGTACGTCAAGTGATAGATATACTGTTTTTTTTTAATAGATACATAATATACATAGAAGACACTCAAAAATACAAATATTTATACCACATAAGAATTAAAAAAAATATTAATATTTTGATCAGTAACACCACTGAGTTATTAGGTTCAATAACATACTTGTAGTACCTTGTAGTACATTGTCGGTTAGGAAGTGAAGTTAACTCATATATAAACAATGTTACACATAAATTAATACTGTATATCCTCAAATAGTCTCAAACTTGAAACAGGATGAACACAAGAATCATATTAATCTTCAAAGGTCGCAGTGTCACAGATCTATGATCACTTCATAATAAACTTGACATCCTAATAAGAATTTGGAAGCATGAGCCTTTACTGTACTATGAGTTCTTTTGATAAGTAATAATTAGAAACAAAAGTATTGTCGCTCACCCTCCGCCTCTAATGTTTGGTATAGCGACGACCCCGTTGAAATGCTGCATAAATACGAGCCGAGTCACGCTGAAACTCGGTTGAATATTGATATTGAAGCCACCATAGCCGTACACAAGCGCCGGGTTCGAGCCGTCGCGAGGTAAGTTCTGTGAAACATTATTATCATTGTTTCAATGTAAATCATTAATTTTAAAAACTCTATAATTTTTTTATTTCGTCTATATGCGATCACCCGATTTGCTATTATTTAATTCTGCTTTCGTTACCTGTCGCTTTAAATATCGACATTTAAAAAACTTATGAAGTTAATATACGATCTGTCTTATGGTAAACAGCAATCGGAGTTTATGATGAGTCTTCTGATACCTGAGATTTGGTTTCAGAACAGTAACTGTTCTGTTGTGTTAATATGAATAAACTTCATGATGAAAAGTAAAAAAAATATTTTCTCTTGCTGTTCTTTTACATTTTCAGACTATATGCAGCAAATTATATATTTTAATATAATATTGTTTAATATCAAAGTTACAAATTTAGTAATAGAAAAATGTATGACATCAAACTTACCTTTTTAGATACTATAAACATAGGAACTTTAGTGCCATCTTTGCTTGAATAAAATATTTGTTTAGCCTCATATTGCGATGCGTCAAATCCTTTTACTTTCACTTCTCTGAATACCTGAAAGAGTATTTCATAATAAAAAAATATAATATGAATAATTTTTTTTTAATTTTAATTACCATTCTTACGTACTAGAAACATTGCTATAAGCAATGCATTCTAGTTTTAAAAAACAAGAATCTACTACGATTGTCAATAACAATATTTATTTGTAACTTACAATAAAGATAACGATTGAATTCTATTACTATAAGTCTAATACTACACAAATATAATCATTTAATACTCATCAGAATAGGTAATTATAAATACTGTCAACTTGCATTTTTCACAAGTCTCTGGAATAAAGGAGTAAAGGTGAAAAGATTGAAAAAATTAATACGAAACGAATTTATCCCTAAGAAAAAATTCTCCGTAATATAAAATTACAAAAGTATTTTTAATTCTACTATAATACGAAGAATATTTATAATGATGATGAAATTGTAGTAATCATATCAGGTACAGTAAGAATTACTTTGTTAAATCGACCTTGGTGGTCTAGCGGTCTAGCACACCGCTTTACGTCCAATGGTTCGATTCCTCGCACGGCACAAGCATTTGTATTCATGAGTATGATTGTTTGTATCGGTTGGGTGTTTTCTTTGTATAATATGTACGTAATTACGAAAAAAAAATCTATGTACTTGTATCAGTTACATAGTACCCGTAACACAAGCTTTAGCTAGCATAACTTGGGACTAGATGGTGCTGTGTGAATAGTCCTGAGATTATTATAATTATTATAAATCAAACTGATGGTCCGCCTGACGTCAAGTGGTAACCGTAGCCTATATACATGAATAGCACTACTGACGAAGTTCTAAGGTATCATATCTCACTCTTCAACCAAAACATACTTCTCACAAAACCAGATTTTTGCCGGCTGATATAGATAAGACAGAAATTACCCATGCTGACGACTTTTTGCAGTTTACGTTGGTAATATTTTTTATTGCATTAAACTCACGGTGGGAGTGTACGGTTGTTTTTTGAAGTCCACGTGGTAAATGATTCCCGGCGTGAGGAACGACATAAAGTGGTAGAAGATTTCACTGTGCTCCTTCTTCCCGGAGAAACCGACCACGGAGCCGACGGGGAGGTCGAAGGTCTGCAGTAGCTCTCCAGATTTCATACTGTGCAGTTGTAACACGCTCTGTAATTTTGTATGTCTTTTATGGAATTGGAATGGCAAATTAGCTGACCGACTGTAGTGTGTGGGAACGAGATGGAAACATCATGTTGTCTCTAGCGCACACAGCTGACGTTATGCGGCTATTACGCTGTAACTGGCGATGAACAGTGCTGTGTATGACAGCCGATAATTAGTAAGACAAACAGTACACCGACCATTTGAATGTAAGGAGTAGTCGCTTATACACATTAACAGTATCCTGGATATGACCAAATGCTACAATGAGCATTTGTGAGATCACAAATATTCAGTGCGGTAACTTGACTACTGTTACGACCTTCTCTAATGGTGATCAAATGCTGTTGTCTATTTGGCGATCAAATTTTGATTCAATTTAGATTTTGTTGGATTTTATATCTACGATATTTACCTTTACATCACGAACGTAATGTAGTACTAATTTGTCATTGTCTACCGCTGACGCCCAATCTAACACGTCGCTTGAATGTTCCTGAAAAAATATATTTTATACTTATGTAGCCACATATTTCATTTTTTTAAGTATCTATTTAACTTCACAATGTATGCATTACCCGCAGTTCTACTCAAGCAAATTAGTTTAAGCATAATTTAATCTATCTAAAATATTTTATATTCCATCTATGTTCATTCAAACGAAACTTCATTTATACAAAGTTCTAGATATATACATTTTTTTTTTATATTAGACTTTGGAGTGAATTTTCTAAGTTTGTAATGTTTGAGTTAATGCAGTATTTTGCGCGATATGTGCACTAAAACAGATCTTTGATATATATATTAAGACTTAAGTTTACTTACAGGTATAAGAGTTTCCCAGTTCTCTTCTGCTGGGTTGTGTAGGTCAATTTTGATCAGTCTATAGTTGGGAGCATTTTTGTTTGTCCGGAATATGCATACTGAACCCTCATTTGTAACATACTGTAACAGAAAAATTGTTCACAATAAGATTTGTATTTTTTTAATAGTCCCCATAGGGTAAAACGCTTTACATAGCCTGTTAATTAGGTAGTACTAGACTTATAAAATATAGTTATTCAATATAAGAGGTCTATCAAACTGGGCGGGTTATAGTAATCAAATTGTATTCAAATTTTGAGTAAGGCGAGTTTTTCAATTGCCATATAACATATTTTTTCACAATTCTGCCGCTGGGTGGATAATGTCCACGAGTAGTTTTAACAATTCATTTATTTATGGTATACTAGGCCATGCAAATGACTCCATCGACTAGAAGTACCCAATCTGACGGCCAACTTGTAAGTGGTAATCGTTGCCTATATATAATATAATACATAAACATAATCACAGATTGACATCTGTAACCACATGACGTGATTATGCCCGTGGTAAGGTTGGTATTCTATAGGTTTAAGATGTCATAATTACGTTCTATACATTAATTGTTATCACATCACATCTAGCCACAGGGACGGTATCCACATTACGAACATTACATCGTCCTTTTATGGCCACTATACCCTTCATGTGCTGTCACTCTGGAGAACTAAAATATCATGCCCCAATATCCCGTAATTTCACTGCAATATCTCACCCTTCACCCGAAACAGAGCTAATAAAGCCATCTACTCAGCGATTGCAATAGGCGAGACAAAAGTACACTCAACGAGAGGACTTTATACAAAATATATATAATTATAAGTAGTACAATAATAATTTATGAAGGTTATACCTCATAATCAGCCTCAAACTTGTGTACAATCTGCGTAAGTGGTAGTTTCCCGGTGATGTCCGGATTCTTACTGAGGTCTGCGAAGAACAGGAGGTTGTCGCGACAGTCCTTCACTGGAGACACGATCAGGTATTTGCCGCAATCCGTCACCTCCGCACCACTGAGAAATAACAACTTTAGATGAAGCATTTTACATACTAAATATGACTTGTTAACGTAAATTAAACTTAGGACGGAATTGTTAATGTACCTTTATATTCTTTAAGGATACATGTTTAGTCATTTCACGATTTCCGATTAAGTTATATGGCGCCTATATAATTCTAACAGTTTCATCTATTGAAAAAAAATATGACAATTATATCAACTAAATACGATCTAGTGAGGCATATATGTAAAATTAACGTAAGACATACGAGCGTTTATCTTGACCCAGGATTCGTGTGCAGATGTCTCTGTTAATGAGGAAAGAGATGTTAGAAATTTGTGTAAAGACTGATTTAGACTAAAACTGTCTAAAATTACGAAGAGAAAAGTCGGTCTACTCGTATCTAATCCCTCTAAGACTCATAGGATCAAAATCTTAAAAGGCCACAATAAAAAATATACTTCCTATTTTTTTTTAAACTGTACAAATAACACTGCGCCATCTAGTCCCACTATAAGCAGAGCTTATGTCTACTAGATAGCTGAAATAAATACTTTTTGTAAATTTTACGTAACATACATAGAAAACATCCAGAGTCCAGACAATCACACTCATGAATACAAAAGTTTGTACCAAGCGACTAATCGAACCCGCGACCATCGGATAAACGCGGTGTGCTATACCAGCTAGGCCACCGAGGCCGTCGAATATATTAGTACCGTTGTGTAATTATACTAACATTCTCCATAACGGCTCCTCTGGGAACTCAACGACTATGACGTCCTCAGCCTGGGGCGTGTTGAGACGGTGGTAACAAAGTTTCTGGTCCCTGTTCACTTCTGTCTCCGAGCCATCTGTCTTGCCTGTCTGTTCCGGATACCGCTACAAACGAAATAGAAAGTTTAGGTGATATTATTGGTAATTGTAAATTATCCTGATTATTCATAGTAATATCATAGAAGGTAATGTAAACTTTTTGGTTTAATATTTATGAATTATAAATAAATACATACTTTAATAATTAAGTCTGTGAAGAAAATATTACATACATACCGAATAAAATAATCCTTTATTGTCTTTCGTCCACGACATCGATGCGAATTTTACTTTTTCTAAAACCTCTGGGTAATCTTCACCTGAAATACAAAATTAGTTTTATATATCACTGCTGCATTAATTTATTCATTGTAGGTATATGAAAAGTCTCTGTAGTGGGACAATCTACAATGTAGAGACTTATGACAGGATTTATAGCAGTAGAGTGATGCATGTTAGACCATTCCATCCTTGCTTTTATGTGTAAAGTTCCATAATATTTGTTTAATTCACTCAGCACCATCATGTCCCAAGGTAAGCTGAGCTTATGTGTTCTAGTCAACTGAGAGGTACATAAATAGTCACATATTAATAATTGTTTTAAAAAGGTTTTGACTTAGTAGTTTGGACCATTTGTTATAACGAAGTAGACAGTTCAATAACCGTAATAGTTGGCAGTTAGTAGTTATTTAAATGTTTTTTTATATATATAAAGATAGACTAATATTTGTGTTTGTACATATTTGAGTATATGAAACATTCGACTAAATTTACATTTATCTAGATAATGTGTTATTTTAAAAAGTATTATACATCATAAATTATAAAGTACAAATTAGATAGATAGATAGATAGATAGATATATCACATATTATAATTGTTTTAAAAAGGTTTTGACACAGTGTGGACCGTTTGTTCATAACGAATATAAAAATAACATAATAGTTGGCATTAGATTTATAAAATTGTTTTTTTTGTATATATATAAAGATAGACTAATATTTGGTTTGTACATATTTGAGTATATGAAACATCAGCGTAAAACATTGTTCAGGGAACAAAACACTGATTTTCAAATTTAGATAAAGTTGTACCTGTAGCTACATCTTTCAGGTGTATGGTGATCCAATCAGAGCCACTAGCTGACAATCCATAGGCAAAAGTAGCACCGTCTTCCGTGAACCTGCTGCCTGAGAGCGCAATTGTGCCATCCTCCGATAATGTGTTAGGGTCGAGGAACACACGTGGCTCGCCGTCAAGGCTATCTTGAACGTATAGGACGCTGGAAATGGAAGTATCGCTTTAACTAGTATTCAGAAAGTGGGAAATACTTCTTGTAATAGACTGTTTAAACATGTATTAAGTTTCTTAGCATTCTATGGATTGAATGTACAGGTACTAGGTCTGAATAGTGGTAGGAAGAGAAACTTTTCTAAATCTAGCGGCTCACCTGATGGTAAGTGATTACCGCCGCCCATGAGCACCTGCAACACCAGGGGAAAATTGCAAGTGCGTTGCCAGCCTTTGAAGACGGAATAAGCTCTTTTCTTGAAGGTTACAATATCGTATCGGTTTGGAAATACCATAGCTCCACAATGTGGTTGTGCATGGCAAAAAGTTTCTAGAAAAACGCACGACTTAAATTTTTTTATAAATTATATTTTTATAAAACTTTTGTATAAGTGTGTAACTGAATCATTATTGTTCCTATGGAACAAAAGTTAAAAAACTTACTTTTGATTCTGCAATCCAGTGTTCTTAAAGAAGAAGTATCTGTCACCTCTTCTGAATGGGCAAGAATATTTGGGATAGTTCCATAGTTCTGTCAGTCGCTCGTGTATATCTGTTTTTACGGGACATGCGTCCAGGTAAGGTCGGGTTATTTTGTTCTCTGCCTCTATGAACTCTTTGGTCTCGTTGGAGTCTGGGTCTTCTAGCCAGCGGTACGGATCTTTAATCTTTTAACACGTAATAATAATAAAATCAATAATTTAAACAATATATTTCATGTAGGTATACATACATATAAAGGAGGGATATGGCAGTGAAATTATAAAGTCATAAGACTTTAGTCCTCAAGAACGGCAACTTATACGAGCTCACTCAGTTATTTTGTAAAGTTAAAGTTGGATGGTTCCGGACCACCGATTTCCCTGGTTTTTCTTAGATGATAATGTAATTATGTAAGGGGCACCAGTGGATATGGCGATGATAAGATGGAGAGCACCAGATTAGGTCAGTTAGTCTAATGATAATGAAATAATGCATCTATCTGCACTAAGAGTATATTATTATGCAGGTCCCTTCTGCATAATAATATACTAGTGGATACATGCACACCAGTGGATAATAATAGGATGAACTTCACGAGATCAGGTCAGCCTATCTTGACAAATTCAGGAACAGGAATTAAACATGGCGTTTTCAAGGGGGTCCGCGTGAAAGTCGATCTGACATTGTACATTGCTAGCAATGTGATTACTAGTCCGCATTATTAAATATATCCTCCCATTCTTAAACTGTTTAAAAGGCACATTATTCCAGAGTGACATAGGTTATCGCAACATATACAAAACTCACAAAATTGTTAACACCTGGGCGATACCGAAGCGGGCCATTAAGAGATTTTTTATACAATCTATTGCATAGATAAAGTCACTTAGAATTGTACTTGTTGGTGTTTAATATTCTAAATGGTTTCACAATCGCTTTATTATTCTAGTCTCGATTTACTGTGAGGTACAAGGCTACATTGACCCTACTTAGCCTTACCATTATTTTGTTTCATTATTATGTCATACACTTTTTTTGTATTGCTCTAGATATCTAGTTATGTTACTTGTATTACTTTTGTATACATAATAAAATTTATTTATTTATAAAATTACATGCTCTCAGTGAGTATTACAGTACAATACCAATGCACTCACCAAGGAATAAAACGTATGCAAAACATACATTAATATTAATACTAGTGATAACAATAAGGTCATAAAAAAAAGAAAAAAATAAAAAATAATAAAAAATAAAAACAGCAACTATACAAATTAAAGGTGTAAAATAAAGGTGTGAGTAGATCTTTAGTATTGAAGGTTTAGGAATTGAATGAAAATTTGTTTTATTGTGTCGTAGGAAAGCTTGTTTTACATATTAGTTTATACTGAAATGTCATACAAGCTGACATGCTATTCCATGGCAATATACGAACATACAAGAGACGTCTGTTGTACATAGTCTTTTTATAACATTAGAGATCCCGAGGATGGTTGTTGGCTTATTGAAAAACTACATGGTGTACTTAGGAGCTTCTGCTACTAGAGTCACGGGGTCCAGTAGCCCTAAATACATTATACGGCAAAACCCTAATAGTTTTTTAGGCGACCTACTTCGCACTATTCAATGCTGGAAGCGTGTACGCGTGCGTGTGTGTGCACATTGTTTCCACCCATGGGTGGAGGCAACGTGCCATTCATTCAGTACCACCAATACGTTGCTATTCTGTAGGACTAAGATGTCATACTCTGTAATTCGCAAGTCTTACCTCACCCTTCAACCAAAACATAACTTATATATTGTTTGGTTGCTGAAATAAATGAGTAAGAGATATTCACGCAGACGCCTTTGTACAAAGTTTTAAAAATAAAATAAATGGCAATAAATTACATAGAGATGGTTGAAAAGTACAAGTCTGTAACTTAAGTTTTAATTTCGCAAACTTGATTAACATGCAACATAATTCACGATACTAATAACAAAGCTAAATTTGTGATAACAATGAACCATTACTAATCTGCGCTTGTTTTTTTCTACTACATTTTTCAATATCGTACCTAAGTACCTAGTACTATAAATAAAATTGTACTACAGAAAATATTATTATATACATTATTTTAGATTGATACACTAGTGTAGATAATACATGATGTCTATGACAATTATAATTAGACATTGGTATTTTAGTATCAGTAAAAGTAAAATAAGTCACTAGGGTCATCTACTCAAACAGTTATTGGCCTAGTGACCCACACGGGACGAGTATTTGTTTGTACTAGTATATACATACATAAATATATATATTATTTACTATTTCTGAATACCGTTTCATTGAGAGAAAGCGGTAGATTAGTATAATAATGGTTAGATTTTAAAGCGCTCGCTACTAGGTATCCTTTGAACATAGAGGCAAATTAATATTTATCATATTTTATATGCATACTAACATGTTATTAATGGGAAATTGTAGTAGTTCTGCAGTTTATTACTTTTTCACAACGAAACTGCTTAATGGATCACGATGACTAGCAATATTAAAGAAGACAACTAAACGTAACTATTTATAGTTGTTTAGACTTTATTTAGTAAAGAATATTTATAGAGCAGTTATGCCTGTTTTACACTGATTTCACTATGCGACACTGGCGCCAACTTAATGTATTCGATTCTGATTGACATCAATGATGTGTTAATTTCTAATTCTCCATGTAAGAATAGATTGGAGAGAGAGAAAGGCACGAGTCGGCACGGCCCGTTAGACGTTACGTTCAAAATTGTTATTAATTTCTAAATATCTATGTGATATATCATAGTCGGTAGAGCATGTCACTCACGAAATTCAGCTTGCCCGTCCTGCCTTTTTATTGTATGACGTTTCTAAAATATACAAACAGGATATTGAAAATTAATTTTTTACTGTGTTATCAATACATATGTTATAAGTAATTTAGTAAAAGTTCCCTACATATGGTAACGGCGGTGAAAATAAGACAGACTTTCTTTGAAATTGATACCAAGTAGTACCGCAAAAGCTAAGACGAAGGAAACAGCTAGCCTCTAATATTATTATCAATGACCTGACCCTATTTTTTGTAAACAATCATAAACGATGTATATCGGTAACATACCTTTGTTCCATGATAGTCGTCGACAATGGTGTCATCTCTTCGCGCCTCCGGGTATTCGAATGTCATGTTCGTTGGTGTGAACGAAGTTGATGCACAAGCGCACTGCAACAATACACATACTGAAAGTAACCACACACAGTTCAGCAGATCCATTGCGGACCTACGCTCACAGACAACGGACATAAACTGGCGCGATCGTACTACTATATCGATTTATAAAGCACGTTCGAAAGCAACAAACCGGGTAGCCGCACGAGCAGTCCTTCAATCCACAACCAGGTGAAAATTCAACCGACATCTTGGATGTCAAATTTATTTTTGTTTACAACTTTGCTATTTGTGACAGCTGATTTGTTGCATGCTGTATCGAGGTCTATCATTGCCTTGTAGAGTTTAGTGTTTAGAACAATAACTAAAGTACACAATCGCTTTATTCATATTAAAAATCTTGACGCTCTGTTATGCACCATCATCATAATATTACCTTAGAACTTGGCATAGTCGGGGGAGAAGGGGATTGTTAGTAGGGTAGACCAATAACCCAACCCCATTGCTAGCAATGTACCATGTCAGGTTGACCTTCACGCAGTCCCCCTGGAAACCTTCGTGATAAATTGCCATTTGTCAAGATGGGCTAACTGACCCGTCTACATGCTTGTTTTATCATCTTCCACTGGTACCCCGCCAAAGTAAACCGTTAACGCAGGCGGGTGTATAATTCCATTATCACCCATAACAGAAAAAACTTAGGCTAGAATTCTGCTTGCTAGGCAGGACCATCGTCAGGCAAAATATGAATATTATTGAATTTGTATTAGTATTATATTACTCCCATGCTTAGGTTGAAAATATTTGGCTATAGACATTAACAGCATCACAGACACAATAAAACCTGGTGTTACCGTATCACCGTCCATATTTCGTATATTTTTAGGACGTACATAAAAACTTTGCTGTGACATACCTATACTACGCATTTAAAACGCCAGACTAGTGTTTCCCAACCTTTTTAGGGTAATGCCCGACCTTAGCTTTTCTAAAATTGTATGCCAAATGTTAATACCAAATACATTATTTATAAAAAAAAAATATTGTTCACTTGAAAAACTTAAATAATAGGTATTTAGAATAAATCACTAGGATATTATAAGAAAACTTTCAAAACGTATAATAAAAAATTGAAATTCGTTTTCGAACTAGCCCCCTTAACAATCAAATTGCCCCATTTGGCGTGGACCCCGTTGGAAAACACTGCACAAGACAAGTGAAATGAAAACAAGTACAATGAAAGTAATATTATGAAACTCCTTACCAGAACGTGTTGAGTGTCTATCAGTAAATGAGGAGTACCTATCTAGACTAACTTTATTGCGTTATATCTCCCGGTGTATACAATACGTTATAATGTATAAAACTTATCTTATATTTACAATGTAATTATCAGCTATGATTACAATTTGCATATCACTATTATTACTATTTATATTTTAAATATATACTTAAATATTTTTAATTATTACTTATTATTAATTTGTTTCACAAGTGTAACAGAAACAGTTTAATCTGTGCTACAGTTATGTTATACAAAAGATACTAAAGTTCGTTTGCCGGATGTTTAAAACGATAATAATATGAATTCACTATTGGCATTATATTGGTTAAGTAATGAGAGTATAGCTATCCATATATTGTATAACGTTGTAACTAAGATTTATTATTAGAGAATTAAGATTTATTTATTATGGGACGTTTCATCTTGAACCAGCTGTATCTATTTACAGCTAGAGAGGTACCTTTATTACCATCAAAGTATTTGTATTCAGACCGGGTTATACCCGGTAAAATATATATAATAGTTAAGTTAGTACGTGGTCTAGTTAGTTACTTGCATCTCCAGCGCAAATACAATAACATAAATAAGTTAAAAAAAAACAAAACGCACCATCAAAGCGATAAACTAAAAAACTTAATGTTACTGAACTTAATGATCTACATTATCTTTTTTGAAAAATAGACTTTCAATCTAAGGACTAAGTGGATTTTGCTTTATTCACTAACGTTTACTTAATGTTCACTGCAATATGCGAGTACATCACAAGTGATACACAATGTGGGTAGTGGTGTTATTTTTAATAATCGTGTATTATAATCTATAACTTCATACAGCTTGCAATTACTGATATAGCATACTGTAAGACGAAAATATTAATCAAATGACGTTTAGGTGTCGGGATTTAATATTATAGTATGCTGAATCTAATCTACCTACCTTCGGGACCATAGTTTGAGATGACAGCGCTTGCGCTATGTAATAGTTTAGGACATTAGGTGCTAATCAATAACAATTATACTTATAAAAAATGCAGTTCATAATGATAGTCCATGACAAACTATGCAGAACTTGTAGTAACTGATAGAAATACTTACATGCATTTTTTATTGTAATGATTGTAGTTATGAATACAAATGTTTGCATCGGGCGAGGATCTAACCAGCGACGATCGAAGTAAGGCGCATGCCTAAGAGTATTGTGTATACGCAATGTAATTACGATATCTCTATTTAGGTACTTTGCGGCTCCCCTCACCCAAACGCGATTAAAGCTATTTTTTTCCTTAATATGAAAATCCATAATAATTAGAAAGTATTTTTTTAATTTTCATACTGTATTATTCCTATGAATAAGCAAAAGATAGGTATAAAGTTTAAATGTAAGATTATATTCATTTCATGTGGAGAGGGGTCGGAGACATATAAACTTAATCACTAGACAGCCGAGGCCGTCAATTCATGACTGATACATTTTACAGTCAATAATAGTAATAGCTTCAAATCTGTCATCCGCACCATACCATAGGTACTGCATGAAGCATAATATAGGAGCGACAATAAGAACATCCGCTACATTACGATTTCAGGCATCATTATCACTAGACTCATCATTTTTTTTACGCGTACATGATAACATTGGTTATGGTTGGCTAAGTTGAAATTATATTTAAATACTATTTAATGAAAATTTGCACTGTGACTTCCCTGAGGCATTATGTTTTCAGCAATTTGATCATTAAAATGTCTGTATATTTTTTATATAAATGAAGTGATAAGCTACCAAAGCTCATCACTCCATTTATATAAAAAATAGTGACTTAGTTTCTCAGTGTAAAATATGTTTTATATTGTGCATTCTTCTACATATCCTTTGACTTTGCACGGATAGCATCTGTTGTAATCTCTAATTATAAAAATAATACCAAAAGAGGACTTTTGAAATTGGACAAGTATTTATTCCGTTTATTCATCACAAACATAAAATCTAATCTATTTTATTTATATAATAATAATATGTTTTTCAATTAACGTTAATGGAATGGTGCTCTCATCTGTGCTATAACAAAATGATGTTACTACACTGGCAGGGTACCAGTGGAGGATGATAAGATGAGGCATTAAGTCAGGACAGTTAACCCATCATAGCAAATTTCATTATTATTGTGCAAAACACAATGGATTATAAAATTAATGGTTGACCATTGACATTGTCAACACACTAACGTAAATGTCACTCATGTAACTACAGTAGTAACAAGATATAACAATGTGATTAACAACGGATTGGTTATTAGGACTAAATGGCAAGGTCCAAACAATCAATATAATAATTACATACTGCTTATAATACCAATCAGAATCTAATATACACACATATTTAATATTCCCTTCAACATCATTATACTCATTTTCTATTATAATTATCTTATTAAGATTATAAATGCGAAAATGTGTGAGTATGGATGTTTGTTACTCTGTCACACAAAAACTACTAAAAGATTTTTATGAAACTTTACAGTAATATAGCTTATACATCAGTGGTATAATTTTCATGGGGGTGAAACCACAGACATAGCTAGTAGCTATATATCCTCACTACTTTTATCCCCGAAGGGATAATCATAGGCATTGTCAAAATTGTGTTGACACTTGCTCATATTTCATTAAGTATATTAGTATTTAACATGATAGGGTGTTTACCAGTATTACACCGATGTTTGCATTTCCATAGATCAGTCAGGTATTTATATAACTGTATTTTCTTACAAAGGCAGAAAATAAGATGGGAAGATGATATTAGTAAAACAGCTGGTTCAATATGGACTCGTAAAGAAAAGGTCAGGATAGAATGGAAATCTTTAGAGGAGGCCTATATCGGCAGACAAGCTGTACCGTTTATCTATAATAATATTAACAAAATGTAAAAATATTAGTATTGCAATAAAGACTTTTTATTTTTATTTATTTATTTAGTTTTGTGGATTAATAATAATCCACAAAACTCTTTATTACTAATATTAAAAATACAATATCACATTTGTGAAGAAAATATCACCAATTTCTAATATCAGTGCACTATATAAACCATGTCTTATATAATTACAATAACATTTGGGATTATTAAATTAAATTATAGTATTAATAATGGCATACACTAGTGATATTTTAATCGTTTTTATCATAATAGTAACTTATAAGAAACACAATAATTAACATTAAAGGTTAAAGATTTTATGTTATCATGTTTTTATTGCATCAGATGCATTTATGGACTCGAAAAAAAGATTACATTCTCCAAGTATTAAATCAAATAATTTGTATTGAAAAAGTAATAAAATATAAATATTAAACGAAAATAAACCTGAATTATTTACAAACATACCTGTAAACTGTGATCAACAAAAGGGCGAGGTTATCTGGTAACCGACTTCTATAACCAAAAATACGCCATTGAATACCACAGTAGACAGATAGAGACGGCACTGGGTATTATTTTAATAGTGTAATTGAGTAATTTACGAGCATAAATTTAAATTGGTTCAACCAGCTGTAATAACCAAACAAGTAGGTATTGTAATTGGTTATGAAATCGATGATATAAACAATACAATATCTTACCAATTGATTTTTATTCGGGAAGAAGTTTAGTAATTTGCTGACACACGGTTTTAATGTGGGTTGTTTAATTGTAAATATTACTTTATTTGTAAAAAAACGGCAATGATTAGCAAAAAAGGGACGCACCGCCATACAAATTGACATTTTACAAAACATGTTGCCATTTATGTCAAATACTTTTATGTAGTAGAAATAAATAAGCTAATATGGTAGTTTTTCATTGGATTTCTTTATTTTAATAATCCCACACATTTAATTACATAATAATAGATACCTACTACATAATATACGGTCTTTGCTAAATGAGACAATATTTTACTAGCATTCTTATACAATACTAAAATATGCTTTTCCTATAATATAATTCCAGCTGTGTTTCGCGTCAAATTTATAGCCTGTTGTACCGATGTACGAGCTTTTTGTATTGTAAAATATGACTAAAATCAGTTTAGTAATTTTTGCGTGAAAGCCTACCTAACAAAGATTAATCTATTCACCCACATTCGCAAAATCCGCGTTTATATTAATGAAATGCTTTTCATAAAATTAATATCACACACTATTTTACTGTTGTCGCGGGTTATATCATTGTAGGTACTAATTACATTTTAATTAGTGGTAAGAGCAATTCATAATTTATGCATTTATTTTTATTTGGTCTGCACAATAATTTCAGCAGGATTAAATTAATTAAAAATATTACAACACCCAAGGTAGGCAGGAAAGTCGACTGTGTACGTACCTTTTCTTTTATTTCAGCCGCCAATGATATTGATTTGTAAACTGTTTCGTATGAAGGATGAGATGAGGGAGAGAAGTTATACAATAAGAGGCATAACATCTTAATCATTCGAAATAATAAAGCTCGAGTGATATCGCAAGCTACATTCATGTGTACAGAACATGGTTACAACTTACCTTGGTTACCGTGGACCACTTACGTGGTCAGCATGTTTTCCATTCCGATTACATAAAAAAAAAGACATTATGGGAATTCATATCATATATTTAGGATGAATCGTCACAGCGTCCTACAAGAGCAACGTAACCCGCCGTCCGCTGTAAGGCACTAGTTGAAAAACGGACGCATTAGACTTTTTAAATACATTAAACAATTACTATGTCCAATTAATATATAAAGAAAATACTACAAAAATATAAACCGCATTTTTTTCAAGATCGTCAACAAGAGGAAGTACATAAGGTGAAGAGCTGGACATAATATACAGTAATATGTCAATAGAAGCGTGATTTTATATGACTACCAAAAAATACGGTGTCGATAAAGTGATTATGACAGAATAGGTGGTTTTCCTGCAATTTCGCGGCCTAGTTCTAATTCTCACTTCCTCTTAGCGCTATTACCGGCAACGTGGAATTATACAGTATGTTTTAAAGTTTTGAATGAGTACGACGGTTCTAGGACCGTGTACCTAATACTCATTGTGCCATTACAGATTACTATAAAATACGAATTCTGCATTATACAATTCGTGAATTTGTAAGATTTCAGTTTCATTAAATAAATAGCTATATAAATAGCTTATGAGTTTAATGTTTTTTTAATGTATATGTCCAACAATGCACCATACTATACTTCATACCTACAGAATATAACACTGAATAAATATTGTTAACCCAGCTTGGATATGTTCCTATTTACTTCTTATTATTTACAATTTTGTTTTAATGCTACAAAATAAAATTTGGTTCTTTTGCGTTTATATAAATTCCAGTAGTGAATTAATGATGTTGTTGATCACTTAAAATATTAACATAATACTGATTTTAAACATGAAATTTTATGATTTGTGAAAATGATGGTAAAAATGGAATGGAAAAATTATATTTTTATAATTCTCATTATAAGAAGTTACATTAAATGTTATAACCGAGTCATTTTATATGTTATTTTAATTCAATTTGAAGGAAATTTAAATCTGAATGTCAATTACCACAAAATAAAAATGTTTTATCACAAATTGAAAATCATATACATTAATCAAATAGTTGTTTACTTAATGTGAAATAAATATTCGGTATAACAACAATACAAATATTATATGAAATTTAAATATTACAATGTTTCATTCATATTTTTTTTATATAGGAAAATATATCTAACGCTACATTTGACATGGAAGAAATTTAAAAATCTTAAATTAAGATTTGCGTGCCCACAGTTCATAGCAATTAGTGAATATCTAAATTTCCAGAACTTAATTAACTATCATATTATTATAATTCGTAGCCGTATCCGCGGCGACTAAATCTAACAAAACTAAAACTTTAATAAATAAAATTAAATGGGCCTGCTGTGTTGATTTAATATTGTTCTATAATAAATTTGTAGTTATCTTAGTAGTTATTAGTTTTAATAGATCCAGTCGCTACTTACTTACCACTTAAGAGAACGAAAATCTAGTGTCTATAACATTTAATATCAAACTTAATTTAAGTTGCATCGATTAAAGATGTTTGAATAAACATGTTTCCATGTGATGGCAGAGTAAGAAAGCAACAAGTCATCACTTTTATGCATCCTTAACGTATCATAAGACAATAATAATAAAATAATATACAAAAATAAATTAAATTACTACTGATATTAACATCATCATACATATAATAATTAAATAATACGAGTATTATGATGAATGATACTAAAGAGAAAACGATGTGGTGATGAGTTGATGATATCGACTACCGCAGTAAATATTTTTAACTAGATTTTTGTTCTTTAAATCTTAGTACAGTCAACACCAGAGACACTATTTATTTTTTGTAAATATAACGATTGTGTAATTAGCACCCCGCGTTCGAAATATTTTACGCATTGATTTAAGTTGGTAGATTTTGACGAAATTAACTTTATTTTCCTTAAGCTAGGACTTCATAAATAATCTCATGTAAATTTGATTGCCGGAACAACGAGTTTAATGACTAAGTTACAAATTATTACGATTATTTACATGATTCCTAACAGTGATAAAAATTATGTAAGCTCATTAGTTTTTATCAAATAGTATATAGCATAGTCGCAGTAATAACAATGATATAATAACATAGTTCCTTTAATATTGCTACTTTTGTGATATAAGAGGAAAATTTCAGGATAAATGAACAACCATAATGTCTTCGGATTCCTGGTATTTTTCATATGTTTAAAATAAGAGAAAAGTGTAAGATTTAATTGATTGTATATTATAATATAATAAATGTATTGTATGATAACGACAAATTTATTTTAATTATTAATGCAGGTACATGATATGTATTGAGCTTTTGATTGAATGTTGTTACAAATTTACTTTGAGATGTTGTTTTATGAATTGACAGATGTGTTATGATATCATAGAAAAAGTGTCTACACTAGCTGCATTTAAAAATGATAATACTGTAATATATTTTTAATTTTAGACAATAGACGCCAAATAATACCAATAAGTACTAATTTTAATTCTCACTACAATCTAAGCTTGGTCATTTTCTAGTCTTGTATACAATTGCACAGTACTGTATATGCAAGGTGGATATCTATTGAAATAATTTCCGTACAAAAATAATGTAATACTGTTTAACCAGCGATTCTGAAATCTATCTCTGACTATATTTTATATCCAGAACTTACAATTACATATATTAAACACTTAGCCTAGTTTACACTAAAACAAGTGTGCATTTTGGCAGATTTTTTAAATATATTAAGTATTTGTGTTGAACGCCTTTTTAATTGAGATCTACGAAGCAACACAATTACAACCTTAGAGTCTATGTCTATCTATATGAATAGAAATTTTAAATGTAATAATTATAAGTAGCTTTTTTTTTAAATTGTAATTTGCTCAATTTAAAGCTAGACATTGAACCTAACAATTTAAATGTGACAACAAAGAAAATTTTAACCCTATTTTTAACTTATTTTTATTTCAAACATTGGATTGTATATCCAAATAATTAGAATGAAGATCTCGAAGGATATTATTAGGAAATTCTTGAATTTCTTTCATAAAAAATGTAATCTTAGCGAAGTAAGCATAGTAATAAATTTTTGGTCTCAGACACATATCAATGGTAAAATTGTTTCACCTAAACAATAACATTTAGTCGCATCATTTTAAAAACATGTCTTGTATACCATAGAAGTTACTTATTGGTAGAATAGCCGATCCAGCACAAAAATATTTAAATTTATTACCACATCAATTAAAATCCAATACGAATTAAGTAATGTAACACCTAACTTATGCACTAAGGACAGGCAAAGTTATTATGCAGTTACGACATCAATAATATCCGTATCAGTGCAGACATTACATCTATTAAAAATCAATGCATCCTCATAATCGTCACACCTGACAGAGACTAAACTCAAGTATACCTATCTCCGTCTAACTATGAGAAGCTGTCCTGCTCGCACTCGTCCCAGCTGTCGCACTCGTAATGGTCGCAATCATAGTCGATATCGCAGGCAGCGTGGCCGGTCGCGTCCGAGCTGATGTCTGTCAGGGCAGCCTCCGATACTGGCTTAGATGATATATCCAGTATCTACAAGCAAAATAGTAAATAATACACTATATTTTGAAATTGTAATTTAAATTCCTGATAAATTAATTAGGAATTTTTCACGATGATTTCCTTGGAGGGGGGAATCACTTGGAGGTCAACATGACATGGTACACTGCTAGCAATGGGGTTATTAGTCCACATTACTAAAATACTCATCATCCACTACGGTTTTAGAATGAGTAGGAAGTAAAATATACAAACGTCAGCAGAGGAGCGGAGGCTATAGTTGTCGGAGTGGGCGTCGCGGTCGGCTGTGAGCGGCTGCAGCGCTAGCGAGCCACGCTTTAATTCTGATCGAGACACGTTCTTATCATCCGATCGCACCGCCACCTCGTTTGACTGCTCTGTTACGAATTTTAAGAAGAAAATTTAGAAACATAGCTTATAAATATAATAATTTCGAAAAAAAAAACTCCGATTAACTGTTTAACTGTTACATTTCAACACATATATATATATAGGTAATAAAATTTAGGAATTTTTGTATATTGATTTTGGAGTGGAGGGTATTTCTTGTTGCTAAAATTAAATTTAATAAGAGTTTAAGGGATAAAATATTTGCAGTATTTGTATTATTTTGTGAGATGACTACTGTTTCTGTGAGACAAAAAGTCGTAACATGATTCCTAAATGTGTATGTATAATATGTTAAAGAGTACAATAACTTTACGTATTAAATATTATTATTTAAAAATTTTGTTCATATATTTTACCTTTAACATGAGGGTCAGCAAGGGAAACTGGGGATCCACTTCGAGGCGAACCCAAGCTTCCATTATAGTACATTTCTGGATTTGCTTCATGACGATCTGAAATAAATAAACCTGCATGGTGTTTCTTGTTCTTTTTGTTTACATTTTCAATCACATTCTTTTTTGAATGATAAACTATCCGCGCGTGTAAGAGCGTACGTGTAAAGGTAACTAATGTTTCGCTAATTTCCAATCTCCAGTTTCTTTTCTACTACCTGATGAATGTTATTTTTGTCAGTTTTTAAATATAAACAATCTACCTGGGAGTATAGTGGTCTCGTCCTCGTTAGAGCTGTAGAACAGGGTTGCAAAACCTAACCGCGTTGCATAAAAAAATAGCTACTAAGGTGTCCAGAGACCTATGAGTTCATTCATGTGTAATAAAATATTGTATGTGTGATTGTTACCGCAGTCCACGATCTCGTGGAAGATATAGTTGGTAATGGTGACTGGTTGCCGGATCCAGGGGTGCGCCATCAGCTGTGTCACCGCGCATCGCTGTGACGGTTCTTTACACAGCATCCAACGTAGCAGCTGTTCCAGTTCTGTATAGCAAATAAGAAAAGAGTAATATAATTTCTAAATAACAGTTAATTTGATAGCAAATTTTAACCAATAAGAGACTGATTATTTAAATGCTCCTCAATCCGTCCTCGGAAGTGCAGCTGATTTTCATTAAGCTCATAGTAATAATAGAGACGAAAAATAATACAGCCTAAGATTTTTATTAAGATTATTACACGATAAAGCCTAAGATTTTTATTGAAAAATTGAGATACCTTCAGATACCAGTTGCGGAAGCGCCAGCGGGCCCTGTATTGTGTCCTCGATGTCAGAGAATGGGTTAACAAAGAATGTCAGCACATACAGCGTTATCCCCATCGACCACATTTCCAATTCGGGTCCAGCATACCTGCAGATAATTTTGATATTCTGATTTTTAAAAACAGCGCACTAACTATAATTAACCGTATCACACAACCTCTTCTATGTGTAATGTTAATGTTATAATCTCACAGCAAGATTCGTATTAAAATCGGTTGTGGACGAAATTATTTAGAATATGTTATTGTATGTATTATAGTATTTTATTATATGATAAACAGATACCAAAATTTAAGTAAAAGGTATAAGTCCGATAGTTTTGAGACTTCTACCATAAAGACGATTTTTGCACAGTTAACCTTTGAATGGCAGAAGAAAGTTGGGAACAACGATCAATTACGATTTGAGAAAAGAAATTATTTTATGAATATTTTTAAAGATTCTGGTGATAGGTAATTTCTTGTGTTTTGAAATATTTCTTTAATCATATTGAACAATGGGATTAAATTATACTTGGATTAAGAGATTGTAACTACATTAAAAATTAAACACAACATACTTGTTTCCCGCCAAAACTTCCGGACTACAATACTCTGTAGTACCATAGAAGGTGGAAAACAGCGTGTCTTTACTCATAAACGTTGCAGAGCCGAAGTCTATCAATTTTACATGGAACTTATTGTCTATGATCACATTTTCGTCCTTTATGTCGCGATGTAAAATATTTAGTGAATGCAAGTATTCTACAGCTTGTCCTATCTGAAATAATAAAATGAAAGGAAAAAATATAGTCAATACTCGCTTACAAAGTAACATCCTTATTTATAGTCAAACAATGGTCTAGTGACATTAGTCATGTATCGCCAAACCATCCGCATGAAAATATCCATCTAATGTAGTTTTTTGTAGATGCATTTTTGAAATCAAACAATTGACTGATTTAAATAAAATTGCTTCTATTAATTTATACATTACAGAATCACCGCCTTTTTTATTATATTGTTTATACCCATTGATTTCTTATGACTTTTTTGTCCAAAATAATTTTAGAAATTAAAAACTTATGGGAACACTTCACAGATATTAAATAAAATTGATTATAACTTACTGACCTGTCTAAATATATATGAGAGGAGTGGCTCGTCTAGTCTTGGCCGTCGTTCTATGAATTCAAACAAGTCCATACCAGCTCCATGCTTTTCCATCACCATTTGGAAGTACTTGTCGTTTTCAAACACATCTACCACACTCACCTAGTAAATGTACACACATAATAAATATCACATACACACATAATAAATATCCACAATTTTTTTATATTTTTTATTGGAAATACTGTATTACAGTGTTGTCATGTTGATTGAAAAATAAAGCTTATATAATTAGAATAAAGATTAATATGTTGAATATAAGAATTAATGAAGTTTCAGTAACTTGCATGTTTGCTACCTGTACCATTTCAGAATACACTGCTTAATTATAATAACAGCTTCAATACAGTTTTCACATTTATGTGTTCACAAACTGCTTTGCAATTTGTTAGAAGTCTGTCTCTAACCTCTCTGGAAACTAATTCCAATCCAATGACATTGGGTTACGCTATTTACCAACACTTCATAGCCTTGAAATATACACTAGACATTTGAATCTTATATTTTGTGGCTAATAATGAGGGCCTCAGTTGTCTAGTTGTTTAGCACACCGTTTTACTTTTGATGGTCGCGGGTTCGATTCTTCGTATAGTACAAACATTTGTATTTATGAGTATGATTGCTTATATTGTTCTGGGTGTTTTTTCTTTGAATTTATATCACTTGTTTAGTACCCATAACAAGCTCTGTTTAGCTTAGGACTGGATGGCACTGTATAAATTGTCCAGGGAAATAATCCCTGGACAATTTGGTCATTCATTCAATATTAATACTTTTCGAAAGACCAGTATAAAAATGAATTGGATATTGATAAATATCAAGATTGAGATTAGACTCCAAAACAGACCTGCAGATTGTGCAACTATTACTTACAATGTTAGGATGTTTTAACGTCAGCAACAGGCTGAGTTCGAGCGGGAGGCGTCTACCATCAGGCCCGTCCACCCAGAACTGAGCGCCAACTTTCTCTTTCAATATAAACTTTGCGACCGTTAGCAACTTATCCGACCGTCGATACGCCATTTTCACACATCCGTATGCGCCTTTACCTGGAATTTATCGGATAAATCAATAAAAACTTGCCGTTACCCGGGAATTAGTTTAAATTTTTGAGATAAAACTATTTTTATATGGAAACTAGGTGAGAGCCTACTTGGTGGTAAGTAGTAAACATCGTCCATACATATGAATAAAAGTGAATATAAACTGTACTATAGACATTATCATGTTACGCCTGCAATCATGCCCAATTATTTCGGAGGACAAGATGTCATGCCTCTTATTCTGTAACTTATCTGCACCATCTCATACTTCGCCGGAAATACACCTTAAAAAGCAAGCTACTTGGCGGCTGAAATATGTGAGACTAATAGCCTAAATAAAATAATGTGAAAATAGAACAGTTTAGCCGCCTAGTCATGTAAAGGTAACCAACAAACAGGGTAAAACATTTTTTACATTTGGTATGAATACATTTGTTTTTCTTTTCTTAAATAAATAAGAACCATAACAGCATATATATAACATTTAAAATAATAATTTTAAACATATATGCACATATAACATTTAAAAAAATCATTTTCATAAAATCATGTTAAATTAATTGAATATAGTATAGTGTGTCGTAATATTGATTATACTATAATGCATCTTACCAATTTGTTTGAGCGTAACATATTGTTTACTGTATTCTCCAATCGTTTGTTCTTCACCACACTGACTCATCAGTGACATCGACTGCGGCCGACTGCTAACTGACTTATTTCCCTGTTAATGTAACAGTATTTTAATATTATTGATTCCGCCCTCTTTTACCCGTTCTTAATAGAAATAGTCAGAAATTATATTTATATTAGTGTTATTGCAATTGTCAAAAGTTGTTGACATTATCAACAGATAGACTGACTGTAGGATTGTGGGTAACAATGGCCCCGAAGGCGTGTGTGTACCCACACTTCCTCAATTGAGTTGGGTGAAATAGATGAGAAGGGGCCTGCCCGAGACCATCCACAGGACTGACTAACACAGCCGAAGCCGTGGTAGTTATGCTAACGCGACCTCATGACTTCGGTAATGGTGATGCTTTTTAGCGAGTAAGAAGTCCACAAATCCCCTCGTCACCCGCCTGACGGGACAGGTGATTAAGAACAGACTTTAAGATGTAAAATAGTTATTATGGGTGTCTTGGTAGAGGCCTACCTATGAACTACAGTAGACTACAGTGGCCTGACGATAATGATGATACAACACTTACATAGGTACTTCGTAAACAAACTTTACATAGCATAAAACAAGTCTCTCCCTGTCTGCCAAACTTAGCCTAACTTAAGAACTAGTGCCATACTTGGGGATTGTTTTATAGTAAGTGCTTACCAGTACGAGCGAGTTGTCAGCGGTGGATGCGAGACTGGAAGCGAGCGTGACATGTCGCGGTGCGTCGTCACTGGAGAGTTGTACGCCGAGCCACACACACGCTACTCTACCAGTCGACAACTGCATGCTCGACACAGTGTACAGCACACCTGTCACAGTAAGTGAGGTTTTCAATACAAAAACATCATTATATTTAATATGTGAAGCTAAAACTTTGTACACCTTTTTAGAAATAGAGAAAGAGAGTAGAATAATAATATTAAAAAATATATATTATTATGTATTTGACACACACAGATATATACTCTTTTGTTTATTGTTAAAGTCAGTAGTCAAATTGAGAATAGTATAATATTTATAGTATATATTATTAATACAAATGTTTGTATCATGGGAGGAATCAGCTAGGATTCTAACCCGCGACCACCGAAAGTAAACTATCACTCCACTGATTGAGCTGTGAGGCCGCATTACATACCATCGCAGCCACGAGCGGAGCGCCAGGGCCTTTATTTGTTACGTAAGTATTATTAGCAGCACAAGGGCGCGCTAGATGCCGTTGCGGGCGTCGCGAGCTTCAATCTTCATGTGCATATTATTGCATAAGTAGTTAATTGATAAAGCAGGTGTACTCACTAAGCTGAGCACGAGGTCGCGGTAGGTCCCGTCTCGGGCGTCGCGAGCTTCGACTTTCATGGGGGCCTATTATTAAGTAAGTAGTGAATTCATCAAACAGGTGTACTCACTGAGCTGCGTGCCGTCGCGGTGCAGCACGAGTCCGCGGTAGGTGCCGTCGCGAGCGTCTCGAGTTGCGAGCGGGGCTCGTGCGACAGCTGCGTGCTGGTGCGGGGTCGACGTCACGTGCGCACGCGCAGTACTACGCCGCATCACACAAGGCGTCACCGCCTCCTCATCTGGGGAATTACAACATGTATATACAGGTTTCATTCATATTGCGATCACTAGTGTTTTATATGCACTTGATAAAGGAAAAAGTTGGAGTCGTGCCGTAACAACAACTAAAGAGATTGATGGAAAATTGTGGAGATTAGAAAGAGATCCACCGACAAGCGCGGGCCGTAAATTATGAATTAATGAATGAGCTGACATTATCATCTCATTCATTGACATGATCGATGTATTGAGATTTATATGTAGTGTTTTATATGCTCTTGAATGTCGTGAGCTAAACCATTATATAATAATAATAATATATCCTTGGACAATTCACATAGGGTCATCTAGTAACAAGGCAAGCAGAGCTGTATTATTATATAGACTACTGATATAAATACATAGATACATTTTTTTTGTAAATACGTACCTAATATAATATACATAGAAAACACCCAGACCAATACAAATAATCAAACTAATGAATACATATGTTTGTACCGTGCAAGGGATAGAACCCGACCATCGGAATCGGTATGCTAAACAGCTAGACTACCAACACCGCAATTAGATAAAAATATACTTCAAATGTTATGATGTCAAAGTGGATGTATTGTTTATCTGTCCTGTAATTAGAATACATAAAACTCAAAATAGGGTTTTAAAGTTCCATAGAATTACACTGCACTTCAACAGGTGAAAAGAAATTAACATTCCAAAACAGAAAACAAAGTAACAGTAAAAAGTATTAACTATAGTCTGTTAAAGTAAAAGTAGTTTTAACATTACATTATTTATAAATATTTATTGAAAATGTTTGTAGGTAGCAGTTTAATGTGATATTTGCTTATCAATGTGTTATTTCACCCTTTAGTTTTCAAGCAAAAGTACTTAAGCAAAAATAAAATATGATCTGATTATTAAATAATAATACAAATCTAACTCACCTTCATATTTACGTCTCGGTGCTGACTCTGTTTGAGTCTCTAAATCATTATCATTACTGAAACTATCTACACTTTCGTTACCATTATGTCTTGGCAACTCTTCAATCTCACAACCAGGTGGAGGCATCTCATTTATAGGTGTCAGAAAGTCCGCGCTCGTTTCGTTCGAATCGCAAAAGTCCAGAGATAGACTGCTCCTATCATCTCTTACTTGACCGGGCAAGTTGACTTTCAACGATCTATATTTACTTGAGTCAAATGAAAGTCTTAGTGACGGATCATTCAATCGTACACGCGGAGCATTCCCCGTGGGCGTTACCTCTTGAGAATGTTGCGACGTGTAATATATAGAATCAGACTTTTCTGAAGGTTTAGTAGATGTCTGTTTAATTAATACATTGCTTTGTTCGGAGCGTAAGATATTTTCAGATCGCGACTTCGAAATGCTACTAGGGCAGTAGTTCTCTTCGTCTATTGAAATACCAGACATGCCGGAAGTCACGTCAGGAAGCGCAGAAATGTCATTTCTTTGCTCAGTGGTGCTTATACTGGACACCATATCCTGCGTAGGCGTGGGAGTGTGGGTAATGAGGCTGCATGATTTGTCAAGGCAGAGAGCGCTGGACGATTTCTCTCTTGTCATGGATAGCATAGAAGGCTGGACGTTAAGAGACATGCATGCTGATTTTTGGCTGCCGTTGAATGCACCACATGAGTCATCGTCTGTGTCTGATACCACTATAAAATATATTTGTTATCATGATTATTGACAAATTTTACTGGATCACTTACATACACCAAAGACTAACTTATGCTTGCATCCAACATAAAAACTTTTTAGAGCCATATTAACATTAAATTCATTAGGAACATTTTATGTGGTGTTCATTTACTAAATGCAGTATGAATATATTTCTTTATTTTAATTATTTACATTTCCTTTAATAAGACAGTACCCAGGGTTAATTTGTAAAAGTAGACGGTGTGCGGCGTGGATACCTCAGTCTCATTTCTTTTAGTTAGCTTTCAGTAAGATATGTTTCGGTAGAAGGATTACTAAGATGTAATTTCACTGACTTAAAATTGAAGTTACAGGCATATAACATTTTAATACTCCAGAATGGCAATGTATAAGTGGTGTCTTGGACGTCACATGATACGTGATTTTCGTGGTACTGTTATTGTATATAGGCTTACCACTTACCATCTTCTGAACATCAGCATGCCATTCCAGTCACATAAAATAAGTACATTCTTCAATCTACTCTGTAACAGACCATAACACAATAATGAAATTCCATAAAAATTTACCTGAACCATTTTCGTTGTTCACAGGCGACAGTGTCATATTTCTGTGTCTATCTGTCACCTTTACCATATCTGACTCTCGACAGAAATTGTGTATAACTTCCTCAATATGATGGCCGACCACTTCGGAATGCGGTTTGCCGAATGTTAGCATCGCAAAGTGATGGTTACAAGCTGTAATGATGCCACTCTCGTCTACAACTAGTAAACCGCTAACATTGTATGTCACCTGTGAGTGAATGAAATATCAGAGATGGTTAAGGAGTTCATTATACTATATAATCGACGTAAATGTAATATATGCATTATCTATGTCCACAATATGTGGCTCTTATTTTTAAACTTATTGATGGTAGAAAGCGGGATTGAACTTGAATAATCAAACTTTACAAATTTTCTTTTATTTAAAAATTTCAACATATCATATAAAAGAACAAAGATAGAAAAGTTTATTATATATTAATGTCAGGAATTACATTCACCATAATGTCGAAAATTTTCAAATGTCGGAGATTTCAAAATGTCTTTTTCTCTATTCAGATAAGTCCTCAAGGTATGTACATACATAATATGAAATTTCAACTTCAATATTAACAAAACAATGTGTATTGTGTACGCACCCTAACGTTAATGTCAAACAGTGGTCGATCCTTGTGAGTCTTCATGGTCCACATAGCTGTTTCTGTGTTATCTGCTTTTGATATCCAAAGACAAAGAGGAAAAGATCCGCCGTCTAAAGTTCTCCCTAAAATAAAAAAGTAATCAATAGTAAATTAAGAAGTTCCTTAGATTTGTTAATAATGTACCGACAACGACGTTTGATTGGCGCATTTGTCGTTATTCCCACCGTTTTTTGAAAAACGCCAATCAAACGCCGTCTCGGCTGAACCTGACAATACAAGTATGAGTACAGTCTAATAAATTCGACCTAACCTGTAGCTTTTTGCTTAGACAAGCTTTTTGTGATAAGTACATCATGGGCTGGCAGTTGTATGGACGGTATGAGAGATGCGATGGGCAACCCCACAAGTTTGTCATTGGAGTCAGCCTGGAACAGTAATGCTGCATCCTCGCCAGAGCATGAAACAATCAGTCCCGTATCTGCTTCCACTGTTAGCTAAAATATATAATTTACTGTGTATAAAACCAAAATTTGAATGATATATATAGTACAAAAAACTTTGTACAAATTACATGCATTTATATAAAATATGGGGCTATATATACAATAGAAAATCTACGTTAATTTATTTAGTACATAAGCATATTTCCTACTAATTTAATTATTATTTATGTTAAATTAGTTCGTCAAAAAATCTTAAAATAATTGTTTGTTTATTGGAATGTCACTAAATGTTGTTGTTATATTTTATGTAAGAAAGAAGCTTTTTATACAAGCATAAGTTTTCATACCACAACATTTTTGCAGCTGACAGGCTCAGCAACCACTAAACAAGGACCATCACTGTCCAGTTGTCTAATCCACAATGATACTTGGACTGTGCCTCCATCTTTTGTCAGGAGTTCAACTACCTAATATTAAAAAAAAATTAGAATTAATTTTTAATCAATAAAACTTGTAATAAGCTCTTTTGAGCAGACATTTTTGATTCTATTCTATGTATACTAACATATACATGTTTCTACATACTTGCGTATGTACAGTTTCTTTGATATATATACATATTTTTGATTCAAAATTTTCATACCTTTCCACTAAGTAATACAATAGTTCCATCCTCAGAAGCGTCAGCATCTTCAGGGTCCTGTAGATTAAAGGTCTTACAGCTCCTGTTTCGGAGCAAGTCTGAGAAACGTAGTCCACACAATTCACCTGATGAGTAGCCTAGTAGCGAGCAAGCTTTGTTATTTACTATGAGAATCTGTAATTTGTATAATATTCACATGAGAATAGTTATTACAACTTCTGCATAAGCTAAGATAGCAAATACTATGAGTCCTGCTTATCCGCAAAAAATTAACAGCACAAACTTATGAATTAGAATGGAAACCAATTCTCAATTCTCTTGAAAGAATTTGCTATAGGGCCCAGGGTGGCTTTATCCAGCTTGGATTACAAAAGAAGTTTCTTAAACTCTGCTTTACAAAATTAAAACTTACTGTCTGTTTAAGGTCAATAGGATATAAATTTTAAATGGAGTAATTTTCACATGCTTTGCTTTCTTAAATTGTAATTCCATTTATTTATATACTTTGTTTGTTTTTCCATTTTGTTGTATTTTATTTCTTATTTCCTAGCAGTTACTATTAGGTATTTATTGATTTGATATTGATAATAACTAATATAATTGAAAACTTTGGGCAGACCAAAGAAGTTATTTAGTTTAATTCAGTAGCTATTTTAACTTACTTTAGAACTACTTGGTTCAATAGTAAACACAGCCTTGCTTGGATTGATGGTCTGTTGTAACCTATCAGTCTGTGAGAGTGCTGGAGATCCTGTAACATCACCTGCAGCCAGGGATGTATTGAAGCGAAGACCATTTGGTCCATCCACTGTGGAATTCGAGTAGAATAGATGTTATATTTGTACATTCAGTTATAATAGTAAATAGAAAAACTAATAAAGTGAGGTAGTTTATTAGATTTTCTATAAATGGTAAGCAACCAGCCTGTGTAAAAAGTCAAAGTCATATTTTCTATCTTATAAAATTTCTTTACAATAAAAACCTATATTATCCTATTTTAGCTGCCAATGCACTAACTAATGTAAGGTCTGTTTATAGATTAGTTCAGAACAGTCAAACACATTTGTGTAATGATTAGATAAACCTTTACACCTATATGTGAATTCCCATACTTAGCATCAGAAACAGAACAAATGAGAACTTGAACATAGGACAAAATGGAAAATTATTAAAATATAAGGTATTTTAATAATTTTCCATTTTTTTTTTAATTTTCTATGTCATATGTTCAAGTAATTATACTAATATTATATAATTAATATTATTTATAATAAAAACAAGTTTTACATTTATCATTATTATAATAGTTGCTTACCCCTCACTAAATCTACAGCAGGTTTTACTTTCGTAGGTGTTTCCAATTCCATTTTAATGGGCCTGATTCTGCGGCTCAAACGTGGAAAGCTTTGATTGCCTTCAAAGGAATAGTTGCTAAGTGCATGATGCTTGCGTGGTGGTGGCTTGACCGTCCTAATATATATATTTCAATATTAAGTATATTTATTACATACATATACATAAAAAAAAATAAAAAATACATATGTTTACATTGTTTTGTTAAATAAAACATACTGTTGTATTATTAATTTCATAAAACATAAAATAAAAAATGTACATGATATTTCAATGTTTTACTATGAAACGAAATAAAAAATTAGATGTTTTTTTATGTAGTATTTAATATAATTATGTGCTTGTATCTATACACTCACCTGCATTTGTAATCAATCTCTGTATATTTTTCTGGTGTATGCAAGTTAGGGCAATCATTCCTCAAGTCATTAAAAGGTATCTTATTTCTCTGAAATAAGTTATAGCATATGTATTAATAAGATTTCATACAATACAGAATTATATTCCTAGTATGTCATTTTAGTGCATGTCTGTACCCACAACAGTTTTTTTGTGAATAAGTTTCTAAATAAGGTGTTTTAGTATTAGTACTTAAAGCTTTCAGGACTAGGTAAATTTTTTTTTGTAATACAAAGGACAAAGAACATTATTAACGTGGATAAAGGTAAAAATTGATAGGTATATGTATTACAAAGGAAAAATATACGCCACATAAGAATATTAAATATCTATAGAGAACATTTAGTAACTTACAGGTTTCGGTGTCAAGTTCAGATGTTCAGGTGAGTAAACATCGATGAATTTTCCCAATCTAGGTTTCACAGGTGTTAACGTAGATGTGTCTCCTGCATTAACTCTACAAATAAAAATATACAAAATAGCCCATTGAACAGAATTTGTCTTCTACATAAATGCCGCGAAAAACATTAAGATACACTTTAATGATTTATTTACATCCTTCTATTTTTGGAAGGAAAATCAATACATTACAGCGCGCAAGTTCAAAATGTAGCAATAGAGCGGTATCAAAAATGTTAAACCTGTTGCAGTTGAAAATGTCTGTAGTTTCCATATTTCTGACTTTTATATTAATAATCCAAATTGTAAATATATGCGAAGATACGCGAAGCACCGTTGTAAAACAAATTCAAACAAAAGAATTTCAGACAGATTGCAATAAATTCGAAACTTCAGAAAAGTTTTTGGTTGGTAGTCATTTGATTGGTACGATTTGATTTTTACCAATCAAGTTAAAAAACCTTATGTCAAGTAAATCATTTGACCAATGGTTAGCTAGTGGTGTACTTTAGCTGAACTGTCAATTTATGTCTTCTGTGTAGTACAACTTTTCAGTCATCTCATTATGCAAAATATGTTCAAAAGATTTGATGGAAATTGTTGACAGTAAACGATATTTTATTATAATTATTATTATGTACTATTGAAAATAATTGTACATTAATATTAGACACATAAGATCAAGACAATAGTATGCCTAGTACTTCGAAATTTTAAATCATGTGCTGCCATCTAATATACAGATGAGGTACTAATTAGTACATAGTAGGTGATATGGACTTGAAATAATTTTTACCCAGAGGGCGTTAAAAGTAGAAATAAAAAAAGTAATAAATATGAACAGTTAGAAATAATTTAATACTTAAGTCAATAACAAAATTTTCGTTTAGAATAAGTCAAATAGGATAAAAATAAAAAATGTTAAATATTACTGATATTAAACATTTTATACATTACGGCGATAAAATATATATTTGAAGTCAGACTCATAAGTTTAATGTTATCGGTTAATTTCGACGGTAAGTCGACTGGGATCGTGGCGTGTCCTGTAATCCGGCTACTCGGAGGTCAGAATCGGAGGATGGTTTGAGGTCGGGAGTCCTGGTGCTGAGTGGCCCATGTTGACTGGACGTCCACACTAAGCCTGGTATTAATATGGACCCCCCGGGGGAGTCTGGGAGGTGCAGGTTGACTAAGGAGGGGCGAACCGGGCCAGAGGGGAAACCCAGCAGCCAAAAGTCCCCGTATCGGGCAGTAGTGGGATAGCGGCCGGGAGTAGGTGCTCAGTAACAGCCCGACCAACAAAATCAGACCCGTTTCTTATGCTCTTCCGAAATATATTTTTTTAAACAAATGATTAATATGAATAATATTGATGATGATAAAGTGTTTACGGATAAGATAATATTGTTATTACATTTCACATGGAAAAAAAATGAATAAAAGCCTGACAATGGTATCCCTGGTCTTAGAAAAAATAGTATAGCATTTGTACGAGGTTCGTATTTATCTAAACACAGCCTGGGGCTTTGTTGAGATTAGTTTCAGTCCTAAAATATAACGTAAGATTAAGTGATTCGGTTTTATCTAGCGTTAAGTGTTAGATGTAAAATTTATCTTATCTGTGGTGTCCGTGAAGAATAAAAACGAGGTTAAAATCAGACTAGGTACTTAGGGTCTATTAGCAACACGTGACATTGGTTTTCAGGGAGGATTATAAAGGTCGATCTGAAAGGACAGATTCATTTTGGTACACTTCAGGCCAATGCTGTTAATTTACTATGTATATTACAAAGCAGATAAGGTCTATTGAAATAGTATAATATTCCGTATACCGATACTTATTGGCTATTAATAATTTTCTATAGTTATCATTACCATTGTGGTTTACGAATTATGTACAATGCGTGCTTGTAATCTAGATTTTTCCTAGAAGGCGTTTATACCACGTTCCGGTTACTTTGCACTTTCGAATACCAAGGTCCTTACAATTGACGTACTCCACCCAACCAGATGCTAAAGACTGTTTATTATATTGAATTAAGGCCCTAGTACCATGCCAGTACTGCTTGTATAGACAAAATGTTTATGGTAACAAAATTATTTCGATATTTCATTTATTATGTACATTTCTCTGTACACTCTTGCTAAAGTAAATCGTACAACTTAGCTTTTATATGCGATTCTCAAATGGTTCATAAAAATATTAGATAACGATTTAAAACTATTACATTTTAGAATTCTTAGCCATTGCATTATTGACGGCCTCGATGGTCTATCTGTTTAGTACACTGCTTTACTTTTTATGATCGCGGGTTCGATTCAGCGTTGTGTGAATTGTCCAAAGGTACTAGGTATTATTATTATATAATAAAATTTATATAATATATTAAAATGAATATTGCGTTTTCTGCAAGATTGTGGTCATTTTGTATAACTAAAATACAAAACAAGGCCACCTGGTAAGCAGTATTCGTCGCCTATATACATGAAGAACGGCATGATCATAATTTCTCCATGGGAGTTGTCATTCCTGAGATTATATGCCTTCTTGTAATTGCACTGTTTTATCCTCCAACCAAAACACAGTGTAGATACAAGGAAGTGCTCTTAGGTTAAGTGAAGTATCAAGCAGACGACTTTATTTACAGACTTTTGGTGAATTATTATGTTTATATAAATAATTGGACCCTGTATCTAAATTGGTATGTAGGCGTTACCTTCAGCCGACTTTCAAAACTTCATATCCGTGAGTTAACGAGCTATCAATTGTATAGCTCGAATCCAATAAATTAGATAATTATAATTACACCTACTCTAGCGATATCCGTAAATTTGTTCCGATTTCAGTTAAAATTATTTGGATATATGTACATCCATGCTGTTATGGAAGTTGTACAGGACTTCTCACATTACAAAATGATCTCTTTTTTACGTAAAATAAATACATACTCTGTTACTTGCTCATAATCTATAAGTAGGTTACAACAGGTGAAATAACTTTTAAAAGAATTTAACAATCTTAAACAAATTGATATATTATATACCTATTATTATATACCTATTGTCTCTTCATATTATTTTAGAAGAAGATGCATCTAAGGTCATCTAAGGTCATTCGAAAAGTCCAATAGATATCTATGGTTTCAATCTATAGTAATTAGGAATTACAATAATCCAGATATACCCCCTACTTTCTTCAAAACTTTTTTAATATTTCACAAAATAAATCTATTACAATTTCGTTTAAAAAATGCAAAATTAATATGTCATGAACATGAAAATCAGCCACTAAACCTTCACTGCGTCTGTACTGTTATGAGTTATATAGATAAGAATTTAATTTAAATTTACTTCTACTTCTGTGGATAGAAGAAAGTCCGCCCACCGCCCACGTGTTGCCATCTATTTTCATCTCTTATAACTATATCAATTCAGCCGTTTATTGTGAAACGGCAACAAACTGACAGACCGACTTTTGTGATATAAGTATGTATTATTAGTATGGATATGTAATATTATATTATCTGTGGTATGGATTATGGATTGTGGCATATGCAGGCACAGGAACATATACATATAATATAGGTAGATATTTAGTTAGTTATAAGATTAAATTAGAGTGCACATACCATACTCCAATGGAGAATGGATCGAATAACCTTTGGCATTGCCTGACATTACATTCACTGTAACATTTAATGGGACAATACTTTATGATCGCTACTGTAAACTTAAGAACACAAATACAAGTGTGACAAAGTCATGGTGCTTAGGTACTGCCCGAGTATTGACGCTGGAACAGGTAACGTTATTTTGTGATTCTTTGTAAACAGGTACAGTACTAACGTACGTTTTTATATAACTATATACTCAATATACAATAACATACATAGAAAACACCCAGATTAGTACAAACAATCATACTTAAAGATGTTTGTATCGTGCGAGGAATCGAACCCGCGACATCGTAATCATGGCAGTGTGCTAAATAATTAGACCACCGAGGATTATTGTGCCATTAATAAACATGTTTATCTACTATGTCACGTTAAGTCACGTAATTGTAAAACGATGCTAAAAAGAGGAGGTGTTTTATTATAGTGTATTTTGTAATCATTTCGCGTGATTTTTTCGCCAATTTCGCAAAGATATTTATTACTCTTCTTTCAATCGATAGGGTTCATACCCGCAATGAACTCGTGATAATTTCGTCACGATTAAATCTTAAAATATCTTCATTGTAGACATAGACGAGACGAGAAACCGACAACACGCTTTAGGCACGGTCATTGTCATTTTTTTAATGAATTATTACAAAAGAGGCTTTGGTTATCCGCAAATTAGAGTATTTGGATCGTTCCACAGAATCGCATCGATTCGTGGTCTACTTTTACGTAATCGATTGTTAACTCTGAGATCATTGTTTTTCTTTATTGTTGAAGAATATTATTTACTCTATTTCTGTTAAGTAACAGTGAAGAGAAAATTAGGTATCTGAATAAATAATAGGATTTACTTATCTCTTTGTCGTAGACGCTGAAAGAGGTTGCCTACAAGTCCAGTATTAGATCTCATCTGTGGTATATATATAGCCACCGAGCACATGCAGTGCGGCAGTGCTCGGCACTTGTTAATAATGATTCGTGTTAATAATTTGATATTTTAATAATGTATGTATGTAATATATTTAATATAGAGATTGCGAAACTTTATAGATGGCCCCGGTGGTCTAGCGGTTTACCGCTTTATTTTCGATGGTCGCGAGTTTGATTCTTCGATTCATTTGAACGATTGTTTATATCGATTTGGGTGTTTTCTATGTATATTATGTATGTATTTATAAAAAATAATATATCTACGTATTTATATCAGTTTTTTAGTACCGATATCATAAGCTCTGCTTGCCTTGGTATTAGATGACGCTGTGTCAATTAGCAGTAGAAATAGAAATAATCTTTATTCAAATAAACTTAATATAAGCACTTTTGAATTTTTTTTATTCTACCACTCATTTGGAACGCAGACACATCACAAGAAGAATGAGCAAGAAACTTGTGTATTGATCTTTTAAATAAATGTTATTTTAAGTAGATTTACATTAACAAGGATTAGACATGCGACAATCAACATAGAAACTGCTACGTACTTAATCTTTGTTCAATTAGATAACATTGTCAACGCTGTGAATTTTAAGTTAGATTTATTTTACAAAAACATTATTATCATTTATTGTCCAAAGTTATTATTATTATTATATTAGTATTGGTATATTACACGTGTACAGCTATCATATAAGTTGCGAGGATTTAGCAAAAATAGCATATA